TGCCAATGTCGGCGTGGGAGCGCCACGTGTCGGCTGTTGACTTGAAGACGATGGACGACGACGGGGTGCCAAACTCGTTGGTCGGCTTACCAGCACCGCCCACGTTTTGTTCGCGTCCTTCGCTTCGCTCGCCCGCGCCTGTCTCGCCGTCACAGTTGATGTAGCTGAGGACGGTCTGCTCATGGTCCGGCGTCTCGCTGCTCGTCAGGTTGGGAAGGGCCAGGGCGAGGCTCTCCATCTCGTCGCTGAGGGCCGTCTCAATGGCCTTGGCGGCTGCCAGCTCCTGCTTGAGCTTGCGGGCCTCCTCGATGAGGTCCTCGCGACTGTTGTTGAGCTTGTCACTGCGGTCGATGGCCATGCCGGCACCGGTTTCCGACAACCGCGCGTCTTCATAGGGATTTCTTACAGCCTCCCGCTCCAAGGTCGCTTCGTCCTTGGGCACCATCATTTGCCGGCGTATGCGGTTGGCGGACTGGCGCAGGGCCGCGTTGTCCCTTTTCATCTGCTGCAGCTTCTGGTGGACATCGACAATGCGAGCCGGGTAGCCGGCCATGGCGGCATAGTTGCGGCGCACGCAGTTTTGCGAGTATTGCTCGGCATGGAAGCGGATGTGTTTGAGGTCGATTGCGGGCTGGGGCCCTTGAGGCGGCAACGGCTGTGCTGGGTGTGCCGGCGGGGTCCCTGCTGGTGTTTCTGGCGCATCTGGGGCTGGGGATTCTGAAGAGTAGCAGCGGCGGAGGAGGTGTGTCGCAATTGGCCGCGTGGTCGACGCCGAAGCCGAAGCCGTGGCCCGGAAGTGGGCTGTCGATAGCAGAGCACGAAGACACGGCCTTGAGACGAACCGCATGGTAGATTTGGTTGCGGTGTTGGCAATGACAGGGGGAGTTCCCTGTCGAGTGCCAAATAGGACGTGCAGGCTTGGCAGTCGTGAGACGTCGTCTCGTCGTCGGTCGTCTGAAGCTCAAAAGTTTTCGTGATGTCACGCTAAAGTGGAAGCTCCAATTGGAACGTTTTAGGGAAGGTGCATTTCTGAGCTTGGACCAAACAAAGGGTACCACCACTCCTCGCAGGGCGCGTGCCTGCCGTTTGGCCCCCACCATGTGCTGGAGGCCAATATGAACCAATCAACGCAAACCTCATTCACGTCCATTCACCTTTTCTGCATCGAACGGAGCATTCTACTCGGCCGCTTTACAAGACGATTGACGAGTGAATTTCGATTCAAATTCGATGCAGCCGTTCAGAGACTTGGTCTCTGAATACAGAGGACGCCCAGCCATTGCTCTAAAAGTCGTGCCCACATCCATTGACGATGTCAGTGGCCTGCCGCGCTTTAAAGTCTGGGAGGGACTTGTCAATGGGCAGTATCGAACGCAGTGTATTTTGCATCTATTAGGAGACTGCCCTTTCACCATCCACCGGCATCGTCGTAATTACGCATGCCGCCCTGTGCGCCTCCTCTTTGCTGGATTGAACAAACTGGAGACGCTCAAAAGGATGTGGACGGGAGAGAGCAATTTTGGCAGTCATATTCAGTACGAAAAACAACGAGTTCTCCGAGCTCCCTCCGCCCCTAAACCTGAGGCTTGCACCGTCTCCACTGACTGACGCATCCAACTCCCTGCGTTGTCCCTGTCGCTTCTGCAAGTTGAGCAGGCTTTGACCAAGTCTTCGTGCAGCATCTGCCGCGACGGCGTTTCGAGGCGGGGATTACAGAAACCACGTCAGAATTTCGACAAAGCACATGATTGACCCATCCAACCCTCGATTTGCGTCGATGGTTGGGATCGCTACCATCGGTGTTGCTCCGATTATTCCATAATGTTGTTATGTTTTCCCTTTTACAGTGCTGATCCTCTCATCGAACGATGGCACGTCAAAGAAGAGGTTGCATTTGCTGATGCAGCTCTCTGATAAAACGAAGGCTGAGGTTGCCTTCCCAGAACAGAAACCTCGCTGCCTCCGATGCCTTTGCCACCAAAACACCTCCGGAAACGGACGTAAGAGAGCGAGAAAAGTAAGAAATCACGTTGATGGAGGGGACGATCATATACAGGGGTGCGTGACCCGCGTTTAAGTACCACTATGTCGTACGTCGAACAACTGTCAGCGGATTTTTTTGGCCACGGAGGACGGCTCCGGTAAAACGACTCTTGAAAGGTGACTGGCCTTGGCAGTTCTTGTCGTCCCTCAGCCGTTTTCCTTCGACCATTGATCGGCGCTGTCCGATTATGTCCTGAGGATCCTTCAACGACACAGTGTACGAAGTAAGTTGGCATGTCGTGCAGGAAATTGTGCATATGTAAATTTAATCGAAACTAGGTAAATCGCGCGTCTTCAAAGACACAACATCAACACACGAGACACGGCGATAGGACAGACAAGAGAAACGGTGTGTTACGCACAAGCACAACCTTCGACAACTCGTCTACGTCGTACGACATACGTTCATACCGGCCGACTATAGATGGAAAATACTAATCACAAAATTGCCACTGAGTTACTGGGCTCGGCAATCCCTGAATCTCGACCCCTTCTCGAGTACGACGTCATTATATGTAACGATCGAGAGCGTCCAAGAGCCGACGGGTTTTTTTTGTTTCCTTGTGCTTACGTTTACCTTCGGCTCGGCTTGGTATTTTTGAAATAGTCAGTAAATTGTCACTTTTGTGTCGTTTTGTGTTCTGTTGTCAATGTTGTTCCTTTTTTATCCTCTTTGCCACCTTGGAAACGTCATGGCCGACAAAGAGTTTTAGCGGACAACAGAGCGCCAGGAACCACCAACGGCTCCAACAAGCCACTGAAACGTCCGTCGCAGGCCAAGGCAAATGCAGAAGGCTGCCGGGAGATGAGAAAGAAGAAAAGAGAAAATAAAGAAACTAATAACGAGGCAATTTTGCCCAACAGCCCGTTCGTCAGGGTCGACGGGAGCAGCCAGATTGGCCAGCCGGACAGGGGCCAGCCGCTTCAGGGTCCAAATCAAAGAAATAACAAACCGGTCGAAGCCTTGAGGATTGCATGTGAGCATGTGTTGATGTTTTGTTTGAAACAAATTGCGGCGCTGCCATACGCGCAGACACGGGCGCCACGCGCAGGCATTGCACGCCTTGGGTCGCTAATTCCTGCCTGCAATGCTCCTCATGTTCACCGCGGCTGCCCGTTGAGCCACGTCCACAGGCACACAACAGCCAAACGAAGTTTCTTTTCTTGGTCGTCAGTGGAGACTGGCAGGCGCGAACACTCGAAACCTGGGCAGTAGTGGGCCTCGGGTCTCCACTGCCCGCTATCCGTCGAGCCACTGCAGGACGCTCCTGCGTTCCTGCTGTTCACCACGTTCAAACGGATCCCGTACGTCGTATTTGGCAACACCAGTGGAGACTCTTCCCTTTTCACCTGTTTCGCCTCCCTGGAACCCAAGCCAAGCGAGCCCAGCCAAACACCCATCTGGCTCCTCTCGTTTTGCCCCTACTTTTTGGCATTCTTCTGGTCGTGCTTTACGCATTCTGAAACGCGACGGCGACTGGGCAAAGAAAAGGGGCCGCGGCGCCATCGAACCAGCCCGCCTGCCCGCCTGCTCTTTTCTGTGCTCCGTAAATGATGCGATGGCCAGGCCGGTCGAAAAGTCGACGCCGTTGAGCTGGGTGGTCTGGGACCCCTGAACCCGCCCGTGTTTCAACTTGATCTGGTCTTCGTGCCCATTGTTCAATTGCGCCGCCTGATATGCTGGGTTGTGTGTCCTTCCAAGACCCCTTTAATTCCTTTAATTCGCCTTTGTGCAAAGGCATCAAAAAATGAATGTGTAAGGATGCACGAGGTGGAGAAACAGTGCAACTACCATTGGGACTCACTGCGCGGTCGTAGCTGCCCTGCATAACGCTCCTGAGTAGCTCTTACCACCTTCTGTTTACTTCGACAGTGCCAGAGTGCGAATGCCATATGTTCCTTCCCTGTGTAATAATCTCCACCATTGTGGTGCTCCACATCCGCTGTCTGTCAAGCCCAACCGCTCCTGCTGGGAAGGACCCTCCGAGCCTCCCTGCTCCCTTCGTCACACATAGCAGTTAGCACGGAAGGCGCAGACAAGCAGGGGCAGGTACGCGGTGCCCCTCCAAAAAAAGTTCGATGCGGATCTCCACATCTTTTGTCGCCGCCCGTGATGCACGTTCAACCTCCTCCCTCGCTCCTTCCACTATTCTCACACTTTCCTTTTGTTTGCATCTCGACCTGTGCTCCTCACCCACTCCTTCCCTCTTTTTTAGGTGATTGCGCTGATCTTTTGACCTTTGATCCATTCTCTTCTTCCACAGTTTTCCAACCACTTTTCTTTTAAACTCCCGACGTTTGTCCTACTCGCTCGCTTCTTTCTTCCAACCTTTTGCTTTCGCTCTTTATTTGGATTTCGACAGCCCAACTATCCCTGCCGCCTCGTCTCCTTTGTTTTATCTCCTATTTTCTCCTTTGTTGCATCCCGCTGTCCCAAAATAGACCCTGAACTCCGTCCTCGATACCTTTTCTTTCGGGTCACGACAAGCCAGAAAGTCTTGACGTTCCAAGCGCATCTCTCGTTATTTCCTTTGCTGTTCTTGCATTGCCTTCTCACCACATATCATCTCTTCCCCCATCCCCCTCCCACCCCCTCTTATTTCGTGTTCGAGCCTCGATCTGACCGATCTAAGCAGCACGGCTTCTTCTTCCTTCATCCTTTCCTGTCCCTGTTTTTGCTTTCTCAACGTCTCCCGTTCTTTTCCACGTTCGTTTCTCTTTCCTCGCTCATACATTCAAAGTTTCGATGCCCAGGCGCCTTCAAAGCTAGACTTTGGCTCGCCTTGCAGTGCCGTCGGGTCCGGTACTTTTTAAACAATCTCAATTTACGTTTATATATATCCTCAGTCAACGCCAAACGACATCGTTCCCTGGGGCGTTTTCTTCTATAATTCAACCATTCTCGAGGCTTTGACAGTCTCGCATACTCCAAGCACGACATCCAAATCGCCAATCGAATGCCGGCATCACCCCTCACATCATCTCGCTTTCCTCAGTATCAGGGCTTCGCACCACTAGGAAGTCAAGGCCGCGACGACGACAGCAGCAACCAAATGGATCACGAAGAGGCCGACATTCCCCTCGCTCCGATCCGGTCCAATGCCTCCTTTGGCGCCCGCAAGGCCAACCAAGGCGGCGTGGGTCCCGAAATCGAGCGCATGCGGTCTGCCGGTGGCGCCCCGGGCACCTCCGGCGGCAGCAGCACTGCCGACGAGAAGCATGGCCTTTTCAAAGCTCATGACCACCGCCACGGGCCGATTGGGCGCCGCCGTGTGAAGAGAAACGAGCACGAGGCTCTCAAGCGCCGCGGCACCGACTCCGAGGTGGCTCTCAACTTCATGGGCCGCCTGTACACTCGCCTTGTGGCCAAATCCACCCTGACAAGATACCTCATCTACGTCATCCCCGTTGCCGTCTTGCTCGCCATCCCTCTCGTCCTCCTCCCCGTCACAGGCAACACCAACACCATCCCGCTCGGCTCCCACGTTACCAACGCCACCACCGACCCGCCGACCAAAGAGTACGGCCCGCCGCTCTTCCACCTTTTCATATGGTTCGAAGCCTCATGGGCTGGCCTCTGGGCCGGCAAGGTGGTTGCTCACCTGATTCCCATCGTCTTTGTCTTCTTCTGCGGTGTCGTCAGCTCCGGCACGCGCAAGTACGCCACCGTCCTGCGCGGTCTGGAGATCCCGCTGTCGCTCTTCTTTTGGGCTCTCGTGACTTGGCTGGTTTTCCGCTTCCTGTTCACCAACACCAGCATCACCTGGATCTACGCCCTGACCAACATCTTCGGCGCGCTCTTCGTGTCGTCCGCCGTCTTCTTGGGCGAGCGTGCCATCATCCACCTGATGAGCATCAGCTACCACGCACGGTCTTTCGCCAACCGCATAAAGGAATCGAAGCGCGACATCTACCTTCTGGGCCTTATGTACGACGCCTCGCGCACTCTATTCCCAATGTACTGTGAAGAGTTCGCCGAGGAAGACTACATCATCAACGACAGCATAGAGGCTATGCTTGGCAAGCCTGGCAGCCGCGGCAAGAACAAGGGCTCGGCCGTTGCGCCGATGCGCATTATTGGCAACGTGGGCCGCTTCGGCGACAAGGTCACATCCGTTTTTGGCAACCTGGCCTCGGAAATCACCGGCAAGCAGGTGTTCAACCCCAACTCGGCACACTCGATTGTGGTCGAGGCCCTCGAGAAGACCCGCTCGTCGGAGGCGCTGGCGCGGCGTATCTGGATGTCGTTTGTGGTGGAAGACAACGAGGCACTGTACCCGGCTGACATTCAGGAGGTTCTCGGCCCCACGCACAAAGAGGACGCCGAAGAGTGTTTTGCCGCCATCGACGCCGACTCCAACGGCGATATCAGCCTCGAGGAGATGATCCGCAAGGTTGTGCAGATTGGCAAAGAGCGCAAGGCTATGGCCAACAGTCTCAAGGACATTAGCGAGGCCCTGGCTGCATTCGACAGCGTCCTGCTGTTCCTCGTCCTGCTTGTCGTCATCTTCATCTTCCTTGCCTTCTTCCAGAGCAGCTTCATCACGACCCTCGCCACGGCCGGTACCGCCCTCCTGTCGTTGTCCTTTGTCTTCGCCGTGACTACGCAGGAGATTCTTGGTTCTTGCATCTTCCTCTTCGTCAAGCACCCGTATGATGTCGGTGACCGTGTTGACATCCAGGGCCCCGAGAAGGAGAACCTGGTTGTCGAGAAGATCTCGCTACTCTACACCGTGTTTCACCGCATCGACAAGATGCAGATTGTGCAGGTTCCCAACATTGTGCTGAACAACCTGTGGATCGAGAACGTGTCGCGCAGCAAGGCCATGCGTGAGACCATCGACGTCAATGTCTCGTACGACACCACGTTTGAGGATATCGAGCTGCTGCGCCTGGAGATGGAGAAGTTTGTCCGTGACCCCGACAACTCGCGTGACTTCCAGCCTGACATTGCCTTCAGCGTGGCTGGTGTCGGTGACTGCGACAAGCTGCAGCTCAAGGTGTCCATCATGCACAAGTCCAACTGGCACAACGATGTTGTCCGTGCCACCCGCCGTTCCAAGTTCATGTGCGCGCTGGCGCTGGCTCTCAAGAAGGTGCCTATTTACGGGCCTGGTGGCGGCGGCGATGCGGCTGGTGGCCCCCTGAACCCGACGTACTCCGTCTCCGTGACGGACGAGTTTGCAGCGGCCGCCCGCGCCAAATCCGCCGACGAGAAGAACCAGAGCCGCTTGGTTCCCCGTGTTCCTTCCACCGACAGCAGCCGCAGCCGCAGCTCGAGCAAGAGCAAGGCCGCCATCAACGTGCTCAACACGCGCAACCCGCTGGCCGACAACGACGACTACACACTGAACAACGGATCGCGCGAGTCGTCGCTGGAGCGGGAGCGCCAGGACACCTTTGCCTCATCGACTTCGTACCTTCACCCCACGGCGTCTGGCGCCCAGTCTGCCGCTTCGCGTTCGCGCCAGCGCGGCGCCTCCTCGGCTTCGCGTAGCGCCACTGATGTCGAGGCCATCCGCAGTGATTTGCTCAAGACGCAGAGCCAAAAGGGCCGTCGCCAGGCTGGCCAGGGCCTGCCACCCATGCAACTTGGTGGTGATCTGCAGCCGGCTGATCTCTCGCGATACGCGTCCATGTCCTCGTCGCGCCGTGGTGGCCCGTCGTTGGACCTCGAGCGCGGCAGCCCGATCCAACCCGCAGGTGGCGCTGGTGCAGGGCCCAGCATGGACCCCGTAAGCGGTGCCCTTTACTCGACCACGAGCAACAACAACAGCAACAACCCATACCTAGCCCAACCACCGTCCGGCGCCACGGCCGCCATGGGCTATTCTGCGTACGCTTCCGCCACAGGCGGTGAGCCGGCGTACCAAACGAACCCAATGGCGCTGAACCCGGTGCAGGGTGTCTCGTCTTCTTCGTTGGCTGGCCGCGGCGGCAACAACGCGCCGCCGCCGCGGAATCCCATGCAGCCGAACCAGTCTCAGCAGCAGTGAAGCTATGAGCAACGGCCGCTGCGAGGACGATTTTGAATGGTAGCTTCCGCTCTTCTGTCGCTTCCAAATTCATATTTGTTTCTCATTTTCCCTCCTTTTCTTTTGCCATTTGGTTATAGACGGGCTTTGGACATCTTTGGGTTAATGCCTTCTTTTTCTTTCGTTTTTGTACGTCTCAATGTCCCCAAGACACAAAGAATTGCCCGTAATTTAAAGACGGCTGGTATCTATTTGAGCAATTTGTCTTTTTCTTATCTCTCTTCCTTTTTTTCTTGCCTTTTTAATCTATATGAACATGGCTTCCACGGCGTTGGTTGCCCATTGGTATTTAGAGTCAGATGGGGCGAATCCCGAGTCCTGGACTTTGAATAAACTATCCATCCATCCTTGTTGATATCTTGATGCTCGGTTTATGTGAGCGAGGTGACGTTGCTGGTCACGTGACTACGATTTGATGTGCCCTGTGGCGTCCCTCGATGTCACACATTCGACGGTACAAAGCTCAACTGCAACAGTTCCAAACGTGCTGTTGGCGGCAACAGAAAGGGGTCAGGGGAGTGGAATGAACAGCATCACTAGCTGAAGCCTTTGTTGGTCTATGTTCTGTCCTTCGAACAAAACCCCAATTGAAAGGTCAATGACGGCGGTTACTGAGCAACACGGAGTGTGGTGCTCTCCATTGGCGGGTGCAGTTTGATCTTCCCCCCTCCCTCCCTTTCGAGCCAGCTATTAAAATACTTGGCTTTTAACTTGTTCATCTTACTCACAGCCACCCGATTCCTGGGCACGGCGCCCCCTCGCGTACGCAAGTGCTGCCACTCGAAGCTATTCTCAGGAGCTACAGTGCTCGAAGGCGAGACGCCATTCAATGGCAGCCAGAGTGGTTCGACTGGAAACTGCTACTTCAATGCGTCCAAAGCTCCACGGCGTCCCGTGCAGCTCCAGCTTGTTATCGCAGGCTCTGCCACCTCCTGGTCTAAATGGGATAAAGTGTGCGGGTCTCCCATGCTTTGATTCTTCAGTTCTTTGACGTTCCTTTTACTTCTCACCAGCGGGGCAGAATGACGCTGCCAATGGCTGTGGAGGGGCAGGTACCGAAAAAGAACAAAAAACGGGGGCGTCATAATCTGCAATAGAACGGGCATGCCAACAGAACGAAGAATCACCAATACTCTCTCAAAGCCCCAAGAAAAGGACTCTTACTTCGCAGCTAAGATACAACATAGGTCCGCAGGTCCGGTATGAGAGGTATTCCCCAGACAACCTTTTGGCGTCACATCCGGTGATCCACAGTCAGTAACAGAGCTCTACCGTCGTCTACATTTTGTTATTTGCTCTTCACTTCCCATCTAAGCAAAAGTATGGGGGGCATATCCTTCTAGACCTGTCTGATGTCGTCACGGTCCAGGCCAGAGAGCCGGAAGAGCATCGTTGCCTGCATCCCGGATCGACTGGTGGTTGCCACTGAATGAAGGGTTTTCTCGTCTTTTTCTCAGATCTGCTTTACTGCCTCTCATTTCCTCCTTGGGCTGGGCGTAGACGGAAAGAGGGGTGGCAATTGCTGCATCGTTTGTGCTAAGCACTAATGACACCCCCTGAAGCTGCACAAAGACTGGGAGACTGGCAGACTGGCTCGGCTGGGTGCCAAAGTGCTTGCAGCTCCAAGTCCAGTGGTCGCCAGCACAAGTCAGCTATGACCTGTCCAGTAAAGCTATCTTATGTTCATTGTGTCGTTAGGCACCATCCAGCAGTTTCCAGCTCTGTCTAGGACAAACCAGCGACTGCCAGTGTCGTCAACCATTTTTCGCCCCTCCTTCCCTTCGCTGGTCACCCAGCAGCTTCTGTGGGGCTCTTGATTGGCCCAATTGGCAGCTCCCCTGCAGCCGCGGGGTGTCAGCCTAGTAAAAGCCAGTGGTCGTTAGGCCCCTCCAGTGCTGGTTCCTCCCCACCACGAAGGCTGCAGGAAGCTGCTGGTGGGGTCAACTCGTTTCTGCGCCTTTCTCGAACCTTCCGTCTCGCAACTTTTTTTGGTGGTGTCCCGCCAACCACCGCCCGCCGTTGTCCTTGGCCAGCACCTTCCGCTCACTTCGACCGCACCCATTTTTGCCCTCTGCCCTCACCTGCCCGAGTTTTTCACACATATAAGCAAACTTCCTGCTTCCGCTTCAGTTTTCTCCCTTCCTTCTCTTCTTTCTCCCCATTCTCTTCACACACTACCCCTCTCTCTGCTTCTTTTTTCTGCATTGCGAGAGCTTTCACGACGTCTTATTTCTCACTCACATTCATCAAATTTCCGTCCCTCACACACACACAGACACCATGGCCCCCGCCGTCGGTATCGATCTGGGTACCACGTACTCTTGCGTGGGTATCTACCGTGACGATCGCATTGAGGTATGTCTTTGATCCGTTTGCACTTCCTAAAGAGGTTTTGTGTTTTTTTTCTTTCTTTCAAAAACAAGCAAGTATCCTAACTTGTTTTTCAGATTATTGCCAATGACCAGGGTAACCGCACCACGCCGTCTTTCGTGGCCTTCACGGACACGGAGCGGTTGATTGGTGATGCCGCCAAGAACCAGGTCGCCATGAACCCCCAGAACACGGTCTTCGACGCCAAGCGTCTGATTGGCCGCAAGTTCGCCGACCCCGAGGTCCAGGCCGACATGAAGCACTTCCCCTTCAAGGTCGCCGACCGTGGTGGCAAGCCCGTCATTGAGGTCGAGTTCAAGGGCGAGACCAAGCAGTTCACCCCGGAGGAGATTTCCTCCATGGTTCTCATCAAGATGCGTGAGACTGCCGAGTCCTACCTGGGTGGCACCATTAACAACGCCGTCGTCACCGTCCCGGCCTACTTCAACGACTCCCAGCGCCAGGCCACCAAGGATGCCGGTCTCATTGCCGGCCTCAACGTCCTGCGCATCATCAACGAGCCCACCGCCGCCGCCATTGCCTACGGCCTGGACAAGAAGGTCGAAGGCGAGCGCAACGTCCTGATTTTCGATCTGGGCGGTGGTACGTTTGATGTCTCGCTGCTCACCATTGAGGAGGGCATCTTCGAGGTCAAGTCGACGGCCGGCGACACCCACCTGGGTGGTGAGGACTTTGACAACCGCCTCGTCAACCACTTTGTATCCGAGTTCAAACGCAAAAACAGGAAAGGAAAGTGGAATTCTTATTTTTGTTTGCCCCCTTCAGTTGATTTTGCGAAAGAAATTTCATGTACCCCCGTCAGTTGTTGATGTTTTTGCGATTGATGATTTTACGTTCTGTCTATATCTGGGTTGGCTCTTGCCGTATCCGGAAAAAAAGAGGGGTGTTGTGCGAGACTTCTTGTTTTAGTCGAGAATGTCTTTTAGGAGAATCCAAGTTGGGTCGCTCCTGTCTTGTTGAAGGTCGCTCCTACTTCTTCAAGATAATAGTTTGGGACATTTACCCCTCTTTTACCCCTTCTCCCCTCTGTTCAAAGGGAATTTCCTTTTGGCATACCTTCAATTCTTCTTTTTTCCCCCTAGTTGTTAGAACTGCATTGCTAACTATTTGTATAGACGTCAGCACCAACGCCCGTGCTCTGCGCCGTCTCCGCACCGCTTGCGAGCGTGCCAAGCGCACCCTCTCGTCGTCCGCTCAGACGTCCATCGAGATCGACTCTCTGTTCGAGGGCATCGACTTCTACACCTCCATCACTCGTGCCCGCTTCGAGGAGCTGTGCCAGGACCTGTTCCGCTCTACCCTGCAGCCCGTTGACCGTGTCCTGACGGATGCCAAGATCGACAAGTCCCAGGTCCACGAGATCGTCCTGGTCGGCGGTTCCACCCGCATTCCCCGCATCCAGAAGCTGATCACCGACTACTTCAACGGCAAGGAGCCCAACAAGTCCATCAACCCCGATGAGGCTGTCGCCTACGGCGCTGCCGTCCAGGCTGCCATCCTCAGCGGTGACACCTCGTCCAAGTCCACCAACGAGATCCTGCTGCTCGATGTTGCCCCCCTGTCGCTCGGTATCGAGACTGCCGGTGGCATGATGACCAAGCTCATTCCCCGCAACACCACCATTCCCACCAAGAAGTCTGAGGTCTTCTCCACCTTCTCCGACAACCAGCCCGGCGTGCTTATCCAGGTCTTTGAGGGTGAGCGCCAGCGCACCAAGGACAACAACCTGATGGGCAAGTTCGAGCTCACCGGCATCCCCCCCGCGCCCCGCGGTGTTCCCCAGATCGAGGTTACCTTCGACCTTGACGCCAACGGTATCATGAACGTGTCGGCTGTCGAGAAGGGCACCGGCAAGTCTAACCAGATTGTCATCACCAACGACAAGGGCCGCCTGTCCAAGGACGACATCGAGCGCATGCTCGCAGAGGCCGAGAAGTTCAAGGAGGAGGACGAGGCCGAGGGCCGCCGTGTCGCTGCCAAGAACGGCCTGGAGTCGTACGCCTATTCTCTTCGCAACACCCTGAGCGACTCCAAGGTCGACGAGAAGCTTGACGCTGCCGACAAGGAGAAGCTCAAGGGTGAGATCGACCGCGTTGTCAGCTGGCTCGACGAGAGCCAGCAGGCTACCCGCGAGGAGTACGAGGAGCACCAGAAGGAGCTCGAGGCCGTTGCCAACCCCATCATGATGAAGTTCTACGGATCTGGCGGTGCTCCCGGTGGCGCTCCCGATGGTGCCCCTGGTGGCTTCCCCGGTGCTCCCGGCGGTGCCACGCACGACGACGGCCCGACCGTCGAGGAGGTCGACTAAATACGGTCGCCTCTTTGATATGTCCTCGCTTTTATTTCTATTTTTGTTTTAATGATTTCCCTATGCTTTGTTAATGGTTAGAGGTACGCCTGAGTGTGCTGCTATCAGAATGCAGCTATCTTGTTTGGTCACAGGAGGGTAGCAAGGGGGGGCTAGATCTATTGTTCGTTCTACCATGCTTCTGCTTTTTTCCTTTTTACCTCGCTGGGTCTTGCATTTGATTTTATTTCGTTTTGCGATGATTCATACGATCTGGGGAAAAGTCCGGTATACAGTGGTATTAAACTGTAATGAATAAAAAAGATTAAACATAACAGGAGGTTTCCTACGTCATAAGTGACACTGTATGAATATGTGGCCTTTTGTCGACTGCCGGTTCAAAAGACTGGAGTTCATTTCGTGATCGTTGCATACATTGTGATATCCAGAACGCCAAACGGTGAATAAACATGCAAATTTTCCTTCCGTAAATCACTTGTTGTAGCCCATCTGCTCCCGGATACGCCGGCGCCGTTCTGCATCGGCCAAAATCTTGCTGGCATCCTCGCGGCCGTTGTCATCAACCGGTGCGTCTGTCTGCTGCTTCTGACCGCTATCACCGCCATTGCCGCCCACAACAACGTTAAAGTCGTTTTGGAACACGGCTCCTGGTGGCAACACCTCATCGACGGTCCGGCTGCGCCACACGTCCTCACTCGACGGCTTACCCGGCAGATAGTACCGGTCAATCTCCTTCTTGCGGTAGTAGCTGCGCACGGTCTCTTCCTTCATCGGACCCTCGGCGTATCCCTTGACACGCATGCAGAACCAAAAGTCGTCCCATAGGTCGCTGCACTGCCGAACGGAACCATGTCGGTACACGGCGCGCCACTGACCCGCAGGTGACTGGCATGCCCAGGCTAGGTCAAACGCCTGTCGGCAGGACATGTGCACGGGCAGGACGGCTTCGCCAAGGGACCGCTCGCGGGGCTCAAAGGGCTCCTCGCCTTCGGCCACGGGGGAAGAGGCCTCTCCCGCTGACGACGCCGACCAGGCAGCCTTCCATGATGCGAGTTTGGAGGGTGCTGCTCCTGTTGCTGATAGCGATGAATTTGCCGTCTTTCCGGGATCCTCCAGCCCGAACTCGCCGCTCTCGAACATGGCCATGAGCTTGCGCAATTCCGGGTCGTTTTCTGGGTTGCCGTCATTGACTGGGTTTGCCGTCGGTGGCTTCTCTGGCGAAGCCGCCGGTGGCGATGGCAGTGATGACGACGCTGCGTCAGGCTGTGAAGGCAAAGGTGAGGCCTGAGATGACGATGCCTTCTCATCGGCCGATTTGTTGGACCAGAACCAGCCCATTGTGGGAACGAATATACCTTCGTGATGAGAGTAGGTCAAATGTACATACAATCGGCGCGCCGTAGTGTATCAGTTGGTTCCCAAGTCGTGCACGTCTTCTTCATGCTTGATGAGATCTCAACTTTCAACACAATCACTGCCCATTCAACACAAGTCAAAAACTAGACGGCTCGTGATTTTTTGAGGTCGGAGCTCTGATTGGCCAGCGACTGTGTTCTGTCGACTGGGATGGCCCCACCTAAACTCCAGGAGATCGACCTCTGAGTTAGCACAGTTAACAAAGGCAGCTGCACGCCGCTTCTCCTCCACTGTGAGGTCATTGACTGAGCTCGAACAGTGGGCTGCTCTTGCCGTCTAAGCTCCCCTCCTTCCCACAAAAAGTAGGATTCCACGATAGTCGAAGTAGCTTTGCAGCTTCCTATTTTTTATTCTGTCGTAGCCGTGGAATTGTAAAATTAGGGATCACCTACAGCCGCTCCTTTTCATCATTGACTCCGCAGTCGCCTTGAGACCTTCCCTACCTGGCAGCGAAAGGCAGGAGCATCACGATGCTCCTCGGGCGCACCTTCCGGCCGGCCACCCGTCGGGCCTGGCAAGGGCAACAACTTTGGCGGCAGGCGCATTTTCAGGGGGGCCGTTTTCTATCCCAGAAACACAACCTCTCGTCGTCTTTACCCCTGTCGATCACAACAGCTTTGCCGGGGTTTGCGACAGCTGCAACAACACAGCTTGCCCGCCGAGCACGCGTGCCGCCCGTGACATCGCTCGTGCTCTCTGGCCGGCGCTGGGAAACCTCTACCACAGGCGATGACAAAAGTGGCCACATCGCCTCCTCACCCGGCGAGGGCATCATCTTCCTCGACAATGTCTTCCCTCTCCGCATTGGCAACCTCCTCGCCTGGCGGCCCTGGCGAACGTCGGCGGACTACAACGACGGCGAGATCTCGCAGCTTCTGAAGCGGTTCACCAAAGATCCCGACAGCAGTGCACCCGCCCCTTCCTCTCCGCCCTCGACTCCCGGCTTTATGGTGTCTATCGCGTCTGTGCTGGACCCCGTCAGCCTTGTCAAGCGCGCGATCCCCGACAGTCTCGACCTGACGGTCTCCGAGATCATCCCCCGCCTCAAGGACGGCGGCGTCTTTGTCAAATTTCGGCATCCCGCAGACACCAATCTGGAGGAGATCGAGTCACGTCTGGCCAAGTCACTGGAAGCACACCCCGTGCGGCCATGGTTCAACCCGCTCTGGGGCTGCATGCGTGCCGGTCTCGTGCGCGGCGTGCCGTGGCTCGAAGACCTGGCGTCGCGCGTCCCGTCCAGCCGAGTGCGAGTCGAGTTTTGTGCGCCACCGGCAGCCTCTTCCGGCAGCGGTGGTGTCGGTGATGCGTCGGGCAGCGCCAACCTCGAGCTATCCCACGAGACTCTTTATGGCCTGTTCCGGCGGTACGGCAAGATTGCCGAAATCAGCTCGCTGCCCTTTGACTCCAAGACCCTGCCGCGGTACGCCACCATTGACTTTATGCGGCTCCGGGATGCCGTCATGGCACGCAGCTGTCTACACGGTTTCGTTGTCAGCGGCACCACGCGCTTGCGCACATCGTACGAGCCGCGCGCCCGCGCCCACCACATCTGGGACTGGCTGACATCCCACCCGCGCATTGTGATTCCGATTCTGGCTGCCCTCCTGGCGACCATTACGGTCGCCGTATTTGACCCCATCCGGTCGTTCTTCATCCGCGCCCACGTGCAACACTCTTTTGCGCTGCGCGACAGCCAGCTCTGGAAGTGGCTCCAGGGTCGTACTAGTGCTTTCGTCGCGTACGCCCGTAACTCGTATGATACGGCTGCTGACAACATGGGCATCGGCAATGGAAAGAGTCGCAAGGGACCCGGAATGAATGGACAGGACGCCCTCATGACGCACCGCCGCGACCTTTTGGATGCACTGCGCACGTGGCTTCTCGAGACGTCCGAGACGTTTATTGTTGTCCAAGGCCCGCGTGGCTCAGGCAAGAACGAGCTCGTTGTCGACCAGGCACTCAAGGGCCGCAAGGATGTACTCGTCATCGACTGCAAGCCGATTGTCGAAGCGCGCGGCGAGAGCGCCACAATCAAGAGAATTGCCACAGCCATTGGCTACCGGCCCGTGTTCTCGTGGGCCAACAACCTGAGCAGTCTAGTTGATTTGGCTGTGCAAGGCACAACGGGTGTCAAGACGGGTTTCTCCGAGACACTCGACGAACAGCTGTCCAAGATTCTGCAGACGGCCACGTCTGCGCTGCGCGAGGTCAGCCTGGACGGGCGCCACAAGACCGATGTCGATGCCGACCTCAACGAGGATGCGTATCTGGAAGCGCACCCCGAGCGCCGGGCAGTGATCGTGCTGGACAACTTTGGCCACCGTAACGAGGATGCCTCAGGCCCGGTCTACGATAAGCTCGCCGAGTGGGCGGCTACGCTGGTGCAAGGAAACATTGCACATGTTGTCTTCCTGACGTCGGATACGTCGTACCCCAAGGCACTGGTCAAGGCCATGCCTGACCGTGTGTTCCGACAGATTGCGCTAGGTGACTTGTCGCCCGAAGTGGCCATGAACTATGTGCTGAGCCACCTGGCCGAGAAGGAGGAAGAGGAGGAGGAGGTCGTCGCTGCCGCGGGTGGTGCAGAGGAGCCACAACCGGAACAGCCGGAGACCCCGGCTTCCACTGCGGCGGCGGACATTGCTATTGACGCCAAGAAGGCTCGCGAGAAGGCACACGAATTGGCAGCCCAGCCGAAGCAGCAATCCATCCTCGACAAGGTCATTATGCCGTTTCAGAAGTCAAAGGCAGATGGCGACGACACCAGCAAGACGACGACCACAACTGATGGCAGGGATGCAGACGCTGCCCAAGGAGCGCTAGCACCACCTACAGAGAAGAAACTCACTGAGAAGGCCGTTGCCAAGGTAAAGGGCCTTACTTCGGCCAGGAAAACGATAAGGGTCAGCGGTGAACCGAGCACTATCAACACAGCTGCGGCCAAGGCGGCCCTAGGTGCCGAGGGTGGTGTGCCTGGCATTATCAGCGCCACAGCCTCGCAGTCGCAGGTCTCACCTGAACACCAAGACGTCATCCGCGAGCTGGACGGCTGCATCGGCGTGCTTGGTGGCCGCTTGACGGACCTCGAATCCCTGGTCCGCCGCCTGAAGAGTGGCCAGTCGCCGAAGCGGGCCGTGTCGGAGATTGTGGAGCAGAGCGCCTCGGAGATCATCAAGATGTTCCTGTTGTCTCAGCCCAAGACGTCGTCGACGTCGAGCGGAAGTGGCTCGTCGTCCAGTGCGCCTGCTGCTGCCGCAGCTTCGTCGCCGTCGAGCCGCGCATGGACAGCTGAGCAAGCGTGGTACCTCGTGCGCGAGATTGGCGCCAAGGGCGGCGACATTTGCTACAACGATATTTTACTGTCCGACACATTCGCCTCCTCGAATGCTGGCATTGCAGCCATTGACGCCCTGGCGGCCGCTGAGCTCGTGACGGTCAAGTCGTTCCGCGGCCGACCGCAGTCCATAAAGGCCGGCAGCCCTGTCTACCTGGCGGCGTTCCAGTTCCTCCGCTCCGATGCTGCCTTGGCGGCTCGTCTCGACCGTGGCGTGTTGGCGGAAAAGGCCGACACCGAGGCCAAGACGGTGGCCAAGGTCGAGCAGGAGCTGGCACTGCTGGGCACGTTGCCGAAGCAGCCGCAGCAGACGATCGACCGGATGACGTACTTGCTAGACAAGCTTCAGGCGTCGCAGACCAAGATCCGGACGTACGAGGTAGAGATGGCACGCCTTAAGAAGATCATGTCCGAGGCGACATGAGCAAGTAGACGTTGCACCTTCATTCTTGGGCGAAGCGGGAGCCTTTTTGACGCCTGTATCTGCTCTCACATCTACACTCATCCCAAATTATTAACAATATTATTTATCGTTTTGTTCTCAGACAATGCTATGGCATCCTCACAAAAGTAATTTCATTGCGAACGTCAAAGCGCCATATTGGAGCAAGTGAAAGATAATGTTCCAGAAGTTGGTCGGGGTGGGATGCAGAAGAGCTCCCCGATGTAAAACGACAAGGTGCAACGCTTGTAGTGTCATAGCGTTTTTGGCCAAGATGGGATGCACTTTGGTTGGCCAAAGAGGTTCATGGGAGTCGAGGGTTCCGTTCTGTCAAGACGTTAGGAGGCGTTCTTGCTGTCATGCCACGGGAATTCCCACTCGTCATTATGGCTAGGCGTTTGCGTTGTGTAATTTCACTGAAGTATTTTATTTTATCATCTTATTGTATTTTATGGGTAAAATGAACTCCGATGATGAAAGCCGCAAGTTGTGTCAAAGAACACGGTCCTCCCAAGCAATCTCGTTTATGTTTGACTTGTATTACTATCATCGCTGCCAAGGCATTCCTTTTCTGCTCAAATCAATTTGTTTTTGCCCCCATCGCTATCCATCGACTTGAAACAAGATACCAAGAGCATCAGTCAGTGCAGAGTCCTTTCCCTCTCACACAGCTGCTTGCAACGCGACAATACGACGGCACCAATGCACGCACTGACACTTTGCCACGACGCCGAGCTGCAGAGAATTTCTAGAAGGGTCATGCAGAGCAGTGGGTAGTCTCCTGTGAACGGACGTCCTTTGCTTCCTGGCCTCATTTTTGTCGTTTCTTGGGCAGGTTTACCGTTTTGTCGCCGACTTTTCTTTCTACTTTATCGACACAGTTGCCAAGCCGGGGCAGAAATGAATGATCATTGTTCGCCGTCCTGCTTGTCTCGGCTGTTCCCTTGAGCTAAGATAAAAGAGTGATATTTAGAAACGAGATAGCCCTGTAAAGAATACTGACCAGGTTCTGGGGTTCTGGGGATTTGCGGTAATTTTTTTTTGTTTGAATCTGTTCCCGTGTCTATCGAATGATTCCTCTGCGTGGATTTTCTTTGATCTACTCTCTTTGCCCTCAACATTTATTTGCCGGCCAGGCAACAGCGAGACAATGAAGAGCGCCCCGAAGAGGTCAAAGGTCGTGGTTCGGAAACGAGCCGTAAAAACCAAACAACTGCCGCAATAGTAGAAATAGACAAATATATAACAACTTGCCATCCATGTGACCTCGAATGACCCGGCTGTGCAAAGCTCACCTATAGCCCTCCATCATCGACCGCTGCTCCAGCCTGCGTACAACTATGTCTCTGATCAGGGAACCTACTTAACTGACGCTTTCTGCTGAGTAAATATATATGATGTACATACGTCACTGGCGCAACTGTTTGATACTGTAGCCTGTGCCAGCGACTTCCCATATGACACTATGGCACAATTTCGTCGTCTTTCACTCCGTAGACCACCCTTTCCCCCGTATCAGCAGGATCACCTGAGGGTGCTATATATCAAAAATGCAAACCAGGGTTTAATGCAAAGCCGTGTCTGGCCTGTCCGACGCAGCTCGTGTCACCTGTTTCCCTTGTACCAATGATTTCTCAACCTGACATGTCGCAAGGAGAACTGGCCTTACGACGCGCAAGACAGGCCACCCCGGTTTTGAATGTCCCTCGTGACCACCTCCTATAGCACAGATATACTGGTAGGGCTATGCATGTAGGAGAAGGATGCGAACCGGCAAGGTATCGCAACAGTTCTTCTGAAGGTTCGGGGGGCAAAAGACAATAGGACGAAACAAACTTGCATTTGGCGTATGCAACATCGAGGCGACAAACTTTTATGACACAGATAGCGGGCAGCACAGCGGCCCAAAATGAAAATGAAAAGCAAAAACGACACCTGCTAAGGATAAGCCCAGGAGACAGCAAAAGAGATCGGTTCTATCCAGACGAAGTATGACACCAAGACCGATGGCGCAATGGTGGCAAGGGTTGCTATCCGTGCGCATCTTCGTACAAACCGACGAGGGAACCGCAGAGATACGAACCGGCACGGATCATGAACAGACTCTGCATCTTTATGGTTCGTGCTTTTGTATCCAATACCTGCCACACTTGCAAGATCGCAAAGTGGTCGTGTCTTGGGTGAGCCCACATTTATAGGGGTCAAAACGGCTCGATGCCAGCGGCTCGTTGACAGATATAGAATGGATGATCCTGGAAAAAAAACACACTTGCAAAAGAAAAGCTTTTGCGTGCCACGTGCGGACATGATTAACAGAGAGTAGAAAAAGAGATGAACCGAAGAACGTCATGGCCGAAGCGGATACGGCAGAATGCCTCGAGGTCAAAGCATTCTCTCCACAGTCCTCCACTCCACAGCTCCTAAAACAATGAGATAACAAGATCACAAAGTGTGTGAGACGCTGTACAGTTTCTTGCGTTTTGTGCCCTTGCTGCCTGTGTGGAGCCGACAGCCTGATTTCTGGTTTTTGATTTTTTGCCAGCCCGTAAGAACCGCAGCTGCCCATCATCTGGTTCCAGACCATGGAATGTTGCGTGCTAGTCGAACCATACTTTGTTCAAATCACATATATACTGTAACTTGTGCTTCGCGAGCATTGAGCTTCATCTCTTGTGTATCTTTCAAGAAATCAGGTAATAGCGTCCCGGTAAGCCGGAAAAGGAGCCTAGTAAGGGAAGCACCAGAGGAAACGCCACAAGGCCGGGAATAGGAAACGCTGTGCTTGTACTTGCATGACGCTTACCAGCATCATGCATGTGTGCATATGTGTATGTGGTAGATGTTGGAGACATTGTTTGTCAGACAGATGTCGGGGGAGGGGGGGTGTGTGAAGCAAAGACAGAGGCAGCCAAAGTGGTGGGGGTGGAAAAGTACGAGAAAATGCAAAGCATATCAGGAAAAGGGGCAAGGAAGCCAGAAAATTAAAATGTCAAATAGGACGACAAACTCGGTCCTTGTCGTGATGGAGGGTCAACGTAGGCTCGCTCCGTCATATGATTAGGATAAAAATATGAGCAAAGCACACGTCTTGGACAAGGTCAAATATCGACGCTCGCCCACCACCGGCCTCTAAAAATGGTGTTTCTTTTTGTCTTGCTTTCTTTCCTTTTTTGTCAAATTTCACATCTCGCTACCAATACACCTCAAGCATCCTTCTCAGTGAGGACTGGCCCTCAGCAACTTCGGTGGCTGCCTCTTCCAAAAACCGCTCAAGAAAGCACACTTCAATCACTCACCTTTAGTGCCATTGATCACTTGGAAGCTTTGTCACCTCCAGCTCAAAATAGTACCACGAAAATAAGCCACAAAAGCACAAAACAACAATGGCTGCAAATTCGGCAATGACGACCGGCAACAATGCCGACAAACCAAATCCCAAGCCGGGACCCGAGCCGCCAATGCCGAATCCGCCCCGGCCTGACGAGACGTCGTCCTAAAGGGAAATGGAAGGACCGAGCCGGTTTCCTAGTGCTTTCCTCGTATCGACTAGCTTCAGACGGTCCGAACCGAACAAATAACCAAGTGAGAAACTAGGGAAGGAAAGGAAGGAGCGACGAGGGCAACGCACGCCGATGGGCAGGTGAAAGTGCGGGGAGATGAACATGTACTAAGACCAGGGATCGGGACATATTGGGGGCGAAGACAGCATAGAATGTACTACAATGTGTGGAGCGTGTCTTGGGGCGGAACTGCTTGTTATTTCCTTTTGTCCCGTTCACTTTGTTTGTCAAATTCATTAGATTGAAGTACAAGAAGAATCTCATCAAGCTTTTCACAGAATTACCAAAGAGAACAGAATTGAATTAATAGAAGTCAAAGGCATCTCAAATACTTAATTACAAAAGGCTGGTTGGTGTACATGTCATCCACGATCCTCTACAAAGAGCACCTTCTAGGTCTCTTCTTTAAATGCTCCAAAGTTTCCCGAACGCACCAGCTCCAAGATCTCAAACGTCAACCGCCTTTCCGTCTTTTGGTCCATGACACTGCTTCCATCATCATCACCATCCTTGTCGTTGCTGTTGGTGTCTTTGCTATGGTCCGCGCTGCCAACTTGCTTGTCTACTGCTGTCTTGGGAGGCGGGATGTGGGCAACAAGAATGCCCTCTTGGTCCATGAAGTGGACAGTGGGGCCACGTGCCCCATTGCTGGTTAAAGGCGGTGGTGAGGGATCGGCGTAGACCACCAAGTCTGGCCCTGGTGTGCCACGCCATAGTCCGGCCATGTATTCCCAGTGGGCTATGGGGGGGAACGAGTCGTTGATGGGGATGGAAATCGCACACTTGTCCGCAATGGCAAGGCTGTATCCAGTGGTGACCAGCGCCACAGGCAAGAGTTGGGATGGCTGTGAATTTGCGAGTGCTGTCGTTGTCGAGTGAAGGGAGGGGCTGGCAGAGGCTTGTGAACCGTCACAGGTCTGTACCATCCGAGAGCTCTCAGATGCTTTGGACGAACCTTCACTCTGCAATGCCGAAGACAGTGAGGCCGGCGAGAGTCGCAAGTCCATTGGAGACCTGGCTGGTGATGGTGGACCGTTGGAGATGTCTTTCCCCTTCCTCGACAACGGAACCGACCCCAAAATCTCCGAGCTGCCGCCATCCGTGTGAATGTGATCGTTGATTTCAGTCGCGATCTTGTGCCAGGTTGGAACGAGCCGCATAAGATCCTCGATCGTGCTGATGGTAAAAGAGAGCGACGTTGGGTGGGCGCTCTCAAAGCTTGTACTCCCACGGCGGCTGTTGCAGTCACCACCAGACTCTGGGCTGGGTGCCATGCTCACATCTTCGCCATGGATGCTGCTTCCCACGCCGCTGTCTGTGTTTCTCTTCTGCGTACCATGAATTCCAGAGGCAACGCCATCGGCCTCGTCTCCTTCCAGAGGGGCCATGGTCCAACTGCGGATGTTGCACTCGCCGCAGGAGACAAGTGCTCGCTCCACAATACGGCCGACAGCATCTCGAAGAGCAGCATTGTGGCCCTCGATGGCAATGAATGGACCGCGACGAGGAGGCACTGGCCGCGGTGGAGAGATCCTGCGCAGTACTTCGTATTTCTTGAGGTAAGACACACTCATTACCATGGCCCGGATGCCGCTTGCCTGGCTGTCTCTGTCGACGATATTTCCGTCGTCGTCGCGCCTGGCCACAATGGGCGTCGGCGATGAAGCAAAAGTGCGCATGTCTTGAAAGTGCGCAGGAGTGGCAGCAAGTTTTCCAGTCGGGGGCCCATTGCTTCCGGTGGATCCCCGGACATTCGAAGCGGATTGATCTGGCGCCATACTCGATCCCGACAATCGGGCTACTTGGAGTGCCGGAGATACGTCAGTCATGAGAGGGGGCAACTTGAGAGACTCGTCGGTGAAACCCGACGTGGGTCGCGAATGATTCTGTTGGAGGAAGCGCTCACGGTTGCTAGCAGGTATCCTGCCAGAATCCAACGTTGACCTGCCGAATGCTGTTTGAGCTGAAGTTGGTGTTGGCATTGGACGAGTTGGAGGTCCCGCAGCCGCACTACCGGGGCCTGAAACTTGGTAGTATCCATAGCCGTCTTGTGGGGTGGGCGGTGGCAGCCGACTAGGCACGATCCCATGGCCTTCACCTCTGGCTGGATGCCCCGATGCAGGTGTGAGAGGGCCCCCTATGGTATCATAGCTATGACGAGGCGGCGGATGCCCTGCATATCCTCGTGGGGCATGGCGCATTGGCGGTGGTGGAGGTCCCATCCATGGGGATGCTGGCGGAGGAGCAGGACCTGAGGAAGGATACTGCGACACAGATGCTGAATGAGGTATTTGGTTAAGCGAAGACGAAATATTGTCGGAGGCAGGGCGATATGGCAGCCGCATGTAAGATGGGTGCATGCTACCCTCACCATTTTCGTAAGGAGAAAATTGTGCCGAGAAAGGAGTAGGTGGCTCATAGTGCCGCATTCTCTGGTCAGATGGAGCATAGGTGTCTTCGATCTTGTGGCTTGGATAGCCACGGGGCACAGCGCCCACCGAACCCGGTCGTCCATACGGTGGCAAGGGTCGTCTTCCTACGGCCTCTCTCGAGATGGCACCACGACCACGAGGAGGCGACTGGTGCTGTTTCGGGCTGGGACTGGGATGAGGAGGGCGAGAACGATCCTCATCCACATCGAAGCCGTCAAACGAAGCTGATTGCATACGCCCGTGAGGAGCAACAAACGGTGAGGATGGAGTTGGGGCCAACCTAACCGAGCTAGGGATGGAGCGTGACGAAAGAGGCGGCGCCTTGAGGCGGCGGCCACACTTGTCACAAGTACCCAAGTCCGGTCCATCACCGGCTGCGCCGCTCCGACTCTCACTGCCAAGCGACGACGCAGTGCCCTGCTGTTCCCCGCTGGTGTTTTTCTTCTTTGCTCGCTTGGGTTGATAGCGATAATCTGGGTACATCTCTCGATGGCGTAGTTTTTCTTCTTCGGCACGTTGTTTCCAGTACGCTTTGCCTTTGCCATCCAGCTCCCTCCACATTTTGCCAATAATTTTGGAAATGTCCGGATTCGCGATGCCGGGGTTTCTTGCCACGACCTGAGACTGGTAACTCTGTCGATACAACATGAACACGTTGCGAGGACGTGGGATTTTTTGCTCTCTACAGAGACAAAACGAGTCGTCCGCAAGATGGCCTTCAGACAGCACGGGAGTTTGGGTAACAGACATATCGAATCGAGAGTCTGCGATGTCCCCGTCTTCGTCGTCTACTTCGTCGTCTTCGTATTCACTTGGCGGTGTTGCAGAGTCACACGGCCGTTTCCGACTTGGTAGAGGCGCAGTGCCTCCAGGTGTGTTGTCCCGGCTGTCACTTGCTAAGTCCTTGCCATCTCCAGGATCGCCGTCACCACGACCTTGGACACGCTCGTTATCATTGCTATGAGCATTGTAACTGAGATTTCTTGGTGGTGGCGGTGGCGTGAGATCCAAAGGAGGAGGCCTGTGGGCCTGGGCACGCGAACCAGTTTTTGGTGATGCGATATGTCGACCTTGCGGTGCAAAACGGTGGCCCAGCGATCCGTTTCTCCTTGCTGCGCCTGGACCTTCGTCAGGCGTCTCGCCATCGACGGGTCTAGTAGTTTTCAGCGTCATATCTGCTGTCGGGGGTTGGAATGGATATAGTGAAATAATGAGCTGGAGCACACAATGAGCTTTGTGCTGCACTTTTGATTTGAAACCAAAAGGACGAAGACGGAGGGCAGAATGCGTCTATTCTCGGGTGGGCAGGTGCAGGACAAGGAAGAGAAATAAAGTAAGCGGCTCGAGACGCAGTGCAGCAAAGAGATCGATAAACCGGGGGACCGGAAACTGAGAGGGGAGGAAACCGAAGAGAAAGAAGACGGTAGAAAAAACAAAATTCTCAGTCGAGAGTAGGACAACGGGTTGTATATAACGAGGAAGGTACAGAGCAAAAAGGAAGGACAAAACAAGGCAGCTGCCAAACAAGGGATGGTCAGGTGAGAGACGTCCAAATATAATAGGAAGGGAAAAAGAGACGGGAGTTCTATTCGTGGGCAGCAAACATAACTCCAGTGTAGGTGGAGATAAAAGAGAATGAGAGGGAGAGGAGATCCATACAAGACAACAAAGGATGTGTGGTTTGCAGGAAGATTCAGGGAGAAGAAAGAAAGAAAGGCAGAGGGCATGGAGACCTAAAATAGGGCCACATGGATTCGTATGACAACAAACGAGGGACGAAGAAACAAATGGGTCAATCCCGGCAATGAGAAGCAATGAAGCAAAGAAAAACTCTTGTAAAGACCAAAAAAAAAGGGAAATGAGAAATGAGAAACGGATTTTGAGACAAAATCGGCAAATACTTTAGGGAATGGTACGGGAGACTCCTAAGGTCAACGGTGACGACGGTGTTTTGAACGGTGTACGCCGCTCGGTTCAGTCAATGTGCATGAGACGACGAACAGCGGCCGCAAAAAGACGAAAAAAAAAGAGAGAGAGAATAGGTTGCGGATGTCGAAAGTTTCACCGGAACCAAACATGCCTGTCGTTTGGGTCAAACTGGCAGGCGTTTGGTCTGGAAAGAGAAAACAGAGGACGATGAAAGTCGAAGAAATGCCGATACGAAATGTCTGAAGAGATAAGTTGTGGGTATCACTCTCCGTTGCCTCTCTCTGAAGAGAATTAAAATATATCGATAAATGGTCGAAAATGAGCAGTAAGAAAGAAAGCAAGAGGCAAGAAGAGACTGAAACAGGGTACCTGGATGTACTTGCGAATAAAATACAACAAGCACAAGTAGACGGCAATTGCAACGGACGAGTCAGGAGCCGGGATATTGTGAGTTTGAAGCAACAATCCAGGCCTGGCCGCACCGCTATAACATGTCACATATAGCTGAGAAAAGTGTATGCTAGCGGTCATGCGATTGGATGTGTCAGACTTGCCAGCAAAGAGATATGTGATATCTCGGCACATGAGAGGGAGCAGAAAGAGTGCATCAAATCAAGTCGTGCGGCGTTTTCTCAGAAAGAGCAACTATTGCGATAGGAGCTGATGTTTGTCAAAGCGTGCAGACCAACGTGGAGAAATGGCCGAAAGGAGGATCACGAACATGCCTCGAAAAAGTTTGAACACAGACTGGGTCAATATCTCCAGAGCCGTGAGAGATCGACGAGGTAAGGCGAAAGTGGAAAAGTGGTTGATCTAGAAGCGAATGGCGACCATCTTCAAGCTCGGGGAGGGGGAGCAGAGCTCCGGGGTGTGATGCATGGCGGCTCAAAAGGAAGAAGAGGCAGACGTATCGCGGAGACGGAAGTCCAAGGGCGGATGAGGTTGGTAGGACGGTTGCTCAAAGGAGGTCGTGGGGGTCGTAAGAAAATACAAAGAAGTACGCACAAATACGAATGTGAAAAAGGCGACTTGGGGAAGCGAGGACAACAGGATCAGTGTAGGAAAGAGCCTGAGCCATGCCTGGCCTGCTCCTTCCCTTCGTGCACGAAACGAGGCTGCCTGAGCGCACCTTCTGGTTTCGATGCCGTTCGCTTGCATCGCAGCTTCCCTTTACAGCATTGAAGGTAGGAGCCCCTTGACCGGTTGGACGACTACTGACTCATTTCTTTGTCTGTGGATCTTTACTGGGAATGCATGCATCTCAGCACACCGTTGGTTTCCCCTGACCAAAGCCAGTCGCGATGTGTCGTCCATCCATGCCATTCTCTGCATTCATCGAATGCGTCCTGGGCGACAAGGCGACGCGCAGAACAAACAATAGGAGCCATTCTCTCCCTGTTCCTGCTCTCTTTGTATGCTCCTTCCCCTTGCGCCCTGCGTTCTTGGTGTTTTTGCTTCGGAGCTCTTTCCCATCCCGGACAAAGGTAAACAGACGTCCCAAAAAAACTAGGAAGGAGGGATGCAAAACGACAAACCAACAGACAGATGCTAAAAGAGGGAGGGGCGATCGAGGGATACCAGCCGCTCTATCCGTAAAGTTTCGTTTGAACAAAACAACAAGACAGAAATGGTGTGCTGCAAGAAACACCATCGGCGTCAATAGATACAATGTACTTCAAGCTGCTGTTTGCGCCGTCCTCCCCGTCACACTGTTCAGCATGAAAGTTCATGTACCGCGTCACGCCCCAGGCTGCCTTCTTAGCGCGTGAGCCTCCTCACGTCTGCTATTGCTGCGTCTCCTCCGCAGGATCAGAAAAATACGCGCCCAACAGACATCGCGAATAAGGGCAGCGAGCTGACAATCCGTGCGACAACAAAGCGACAACGGGCGGTTGGTCCCAATGCGGGACAACAGGCCAACAAACAGTAGCCTAGAATGGCTAACGTGCATGAGACAATGGCCTGCCAGCACAACAAGGTGACGTGCCCTGTTTTCAGTTTGCTGCTTTCTTTCTTGTCCCCCTCCCTCGTTTTCCCTCTTCGTTCTTTTTTTGTGCTACCGTATTGTTCGTTTGCAACACTAGCCCGTTTCTTATTTCACCGTATTATTACATGCAGTTGTTGAGCGACTGGCGCTTGTGATAGGTCCGTGGGCTGACACGACGGAAGCAGTACGGTTTATGGTTGTTCTCAATGCTGAGCGTCCTCTCATAAGAGGTCGATCTTAACAAGTTTCCGCTGCATGGCTTTCTCGGGCCTCTTCCAACACGTCCTACTGTCTAAAGTACTGCTCTTTCCGGCCTAGGCTGTTCCCGGTTATTGTTTGCGACGACATCATCTCTCTTTGATTTTGCAGGTTTGATGTACGAGCTGTACACCCTTTTCCATTGCTCTCGTCTAGACTGTTTTCTGAACATCATGCCCCGCTCGGAGGATGTCCCTGATCAGCCATGCACTGTTCAGCGCGGTTTGGACATCTCGTTTTGCATGGTATTGTTCTAGGCCTCCTTCCCCGTCTGCACTAGCCTTGAGAGTTGCATTTTTAAGCTGTGATTGTGTTTTATTTTTATTCGTTTCCGCGTGTATTTCAGGTCGTATCCCAGCCAGCGACTGACAAGGGTCCTGCATGCATAATGTTATTGATTTTTATTTTTATTTGGTCTTCTTTTTTCTTCCTTTCCACTTCCTTTTCTGTGCTTCGTTTTCAACGCCCATGACCTCCCTGCTGTTGTCCTTGACCCCATACGGCGCTATTGCGTTTGTATTTTTAGGTCAGGGCCATCTGACTGTTTTGTGTCTGTGGTTTCTGGCTCTGGTAGTTCGTTGCCCCCATTTTTATTGTCCCTCCTCACTCCCTGGCTCACTAGCTTCTTCTTTGTTCGTCTCGAGCCCCCCATTTTCATTCCGCGCTTTAGATATCTCCATGACAAGGTGCCTTGATTAACAAACAAGTGCCCAGAAGGGTAGCAAAAGTGTTATCGTGTCAAAGTCAAGATCAACGTACCGAAAAGGAAAATGCGCGGCACGGCGGTACAAATCCATTGGGACTGGCGTCCAAGCGCCAAACACAGGAGAGCAAGTAATACTGGCTGCAAGTACAGGTGCATCAATGCGGCCTCCTCGGCTGCTTTCTGCGGACAGCAACCAACAGGCGCCAAGAAAACGAGTATTGGTAAGATACAAAATTACTGGCCAAAAAACGAGGCAGTGGACGGATCCTGTTCCGTCCGAATTTAATTCGACTAGCAACATTTTCGTCGTCTTACGACATATAAGGACAATTGACCGCAACGAGTTGTTGTATGGAAGAAGCCACGGAAACAAACAAGTAGAAAAACTCTGTGAATATCACATTGTATTACTCCATAGCTGGTCCACAGCCCAACGATCGATGCAACCACAATCAAGATGCAAGTTAACTACCCATAACGTTTCGTTGATACCGCTTGGCCGCGCTTGTACGTCGGACTCTGTAACTTACAACGTTGTCTATCTGTCCATTGCTTTGTCCAAGTGGAGTGCAAGTATCTGCGATACGGAAATGGGCAATGGGGAGTCTTGGACCCTGGGGGTCGAAAAATATCTCCCGGGGAAAGTAGACGATCGACAACATGGGGGTCACGCTGCTACATTTTGGGTTGGCGTTTGCATAGCCGACAGCCAACCACTGTAACTTCTTTTGAAGGGGACATGTGCATGGTGCAGATGGCTTCACCAACAAGCAGCGAGCATGATGCACGCATCAGCCGGCAGCTGACTTTCACAATGCCGTTTCGTCTGCTGCTCGTCAATCGTTTCTCCACCTGTCAAAATCTTATTCCCTCTTTCCCACTTCGCCGATTAGATATGATGCTTGCATTACGTCCCCCCGTCGAGCCTTGTGCCCTATTGCGCCCGGAGTTCTCAGATCGTGCTCGGTTCTGATGCAGTTATGAGTTGGGCAGCGAGTGTGGCAGTCTTGGCTGCAAAAGAAACGAATAAAAAATGCTTAGTTTCTAGTACTTCTCTTTTGCAATTATATTTTACCGCTTACACTTGCCTTTCGCGGCTATCTCATGCCATTCGGCTCTTTTTTGTTTTCGTTTATATTTTTGTATATTTAAAATCACTTTTCCTTCGACGCTGCCCGAAGCTTCCATTTCTTTGATTCTGTGCATGGGATTGTTGTTCTCCCTCGCTTCCCCTCGGCCAAACCACCTTCACTTCATTCCTTTGTGTCCTCGAGAGTCTAAGCCAATCAGCTGAGCTTGTGATGGTTGGCCAAAATCAGACTATTGGAGAACGGCGAACAAACCGCAAAAGGGAGGGCAAGAGGTTGATGGGGGCCAAAAGGTGGATACTGGCTGAATGTGGAACGTAAGACGTCCTCAAATAAGCAAGAATCAACTGCGCTCATCCAACACGAAAAGTCCTCTGATGAGAAAAAGGCATGAAAAAATTGAAATGGGAAATGAACTTGGGAAAATAGCAGGTGTGGTGTGACATGATCCTGAAAATGATGATACTACCTTTGTTTTCTGTTTTCGCAATCGACTCTTGCGTTGGTTGCACTGTCTGTTGAGAATAATATGGATTTTCTGTATTTGCATTGATGCAGTCGCATTGGTTCTTCTGCCGCTGTCGTTGGTCGGGGAACAATTCCAGCGTCCCATCGATTCAGACGACAAGTGTGGTTGCATGCATACGAAAGAGTGCATGTGTTTGAGGGAATAAAGGAAGGATAATAACAGAGTGCTACAAAACGGCTGCAGCTGGATATGGCTTCTATCACGTTTTTCTACGATGTGCCTTGTCTTCTCTTTTCCTTATTCTCATTCTGTTCGGAACATACATCGGCCCTTTGTCCTCACCTGCGCTGACGTGCGCCTTCTGTTAAGACGAGAATTGGAGAATACTCCATTTGGTTAAAGCTTTATGTGGCACAAACTGCCACGCCATATTTAATTATTTTGTACCCAAATCCTTCTATTTGCTCTCTGCAAACCTCAGCTTATTATCATGTTCCTATGTACGGAGGTGGATGTTGTGTACAGCATTTTCAAACGCCTCGCTCCCTTCTGTTATTTATCCTTTCTATTCTCACGTGACGGAGGCGCTCTGACCACCAACAGACACCATTTCCTTGATAGTCCTGTCTATATGCCTTGAGCTTGTTTTTATCTACGCTGCCCCCACGTCAGGACGTCGTATTTGAATTGTGTCACAAACGAAAATGACAGGAAAGTGTGACAAAATGCCTTGCTCTATAAGAAAGAACGAAATAAAATTTAAGAATAAAAAAAAACCAAAAGAAAATACGACGTTGCTGGGCCGGGGGTATGAAATCCAGACCGGCCGAGCAGTCTGTTTGGAAGAGAAATGCCATACATCGCACCGCCAACAAGAAAACAAAAAAAGGAGGCGAGTTTCAGCAGGGTTGCTGTGCCTATCGCGCCCCTATACGGAGTACATACATTGTGATGAGCTGAAATAGTCGACATGCCGACGTGGACACTCGTAAATGAGTGCGGAGTAATACGATATACACACCCATAGGCAGAGAGAAGGAGAAGCCGACAAGGTCACGGAAAGCACGGCTAACTAGAGTCTTGGCAGAGAGAGCGATGCTCGAGAGGGGCGTCTGAGGCGTTGGTGCTAAGACGAAATCAGATAAAATTGGGAATGTGTTTCTTTTTCTCTTACCTTTTTTTTTTTTTAAAAAAAAAAAAAAAAACCGACGATAGTATTTTGTGCGACCAACAACCAACGTGCCTTACCATTTTTCATGGTCTCATTATAATTGGATTTGGGGGCCGTATTCTCTGACGTGTCTCGCATTGGAAGGACTGCAGCCAAAAAAAAAAAAAAAAAGCAAGACTTGCAGTCAACACCCTTGTCCAGGGCAAACGCGGCAACCAAGAATTGCAAGAAAATGACTTTGCGCAAGAGCAAGACGCGATCACAAACCAGAGAGCACAAAGGATGCGGAAGCGTTTGCAAGAGATTACGAACGGGGCGTCAACCGCAGAAGAGACAAGAGAGGGCCAGACCGGCCAGGCGCAGGAGAGGCTCTGGCATGTCTCTCATCGCTGTCGCTCCCCGAAAAGGTCCGAACCATGCATACCTATCAACTGTGGCGTTTGATATATCAACAACTAAAATGAGAAGCAGCGGATCCAATAAATGAATCCTATACGAAAGGACAAGAATGGGATGCGAGTGCGAGAAGCATCATAAAATCACAGGACCGAAAATGCGACGGGCAGTCAAGTCGTTTCGAATAATACATCCAAGCATCATGTCCCACGAAAGTGGTTTCCTGGTGGCAGTCTGCCTGAGCCAGTCGCTGCATACGCTTTGCTGTCTGCGATCCTGAATGCACCTGCATGAAATGACATGTCTCTTTGTAATTCTAGACCTTGGAACGGCATCGCCTCCGCTCTTGGTCACTCCTTGCCTGGTTTCTCTGGCCGGGCTTTCCTCGTTCCTATTGACAGCCGTTCATCCTCTGTGGATTGTCTTCTGGTTCTCGTTTTCCGAACAGTGCGTAAATACTGCGTCAAAGGCATCGGTCGCAAGCTTTACCTATTCCGTCTGCACCCCTGTTTATCCTCTCATCGTCTTTCATTTTGTTTTCTTTGTTCTGCCTCCGTCATGAGACCCGCATGTTACTCGTTATGCCCCAAGATGCCCATGTTGAGCCATAAAGTGAGGACGAACGTTGCTTGCCTGCTTGTTGCATGTTGCATATAGATTGGGGACGGCCAGCTGAGCTGCGCTTTTTGCTCATGTCTGTTTCGACATGTCGTCTACAGGGCCTGGAAATGAGGGCAGAGGCAGAGGAAGAGCACAATATTAGCACCACTGAGACGAACAGAGACACAACTATTGCTATAAAAATGGGACGCCATTTTCGTAAGCCAGATAGCTTCCCCTGAAATGGGGATTGTTGCGTCGCCTATACGATTCTGGTCTTTGGTAGCTGCTTCTCTGTCGCAAAAAAAGCAAGACGATCATAAAACTGTAACAGGGAGAAAAACAAGAAAAACAAGACAAAATAAAGTAAATTAATAGATCCTTCCTTTCCGGTTGTCGTTCGCCGTTTTCGCCTGTTCGCGTCCCGGTTCGCCGCTGGCACAATCTTCCATCTTACACGACCAGCATCCTTCGTCCGGTCTCGGTCGCTTCCTTTCTGTCTCTCTGTCTTTCTGTGTTACTGTCTCTTTCGTTGTCCCCCGCACCCCCTAATGTCTATAGTACTCATCCTCATTCGCCATGCCAAGTACAAATGAAATGCGCAGCTCATTCATACTATGAAGCCTTTGGCGGTCTCGCTCGTCAGCAGCTGCGCGCTCCGACGGGCGTCCAGAAAGAGCTCCTCGCACTCCGCGACGTCCTTGACATCAATCTCCTTGCGGCCGTTTACCCGGGCCAGGATGCTATAATTGTTAGACAAAGAAAAGGGCCCCGAAACCAAGTAATACGAGTAAATACGAGTGCAGACATTGTCACGAAACGTACCTGGCAGGGGCGAGCAGCTGCAGCGCGTACCGCAGGCTGATGCGAACGCCCTCCTCGGCAATCTTGTCGATGGCTGCATCGGTAATGGGCGTGGCCTCGGTGGTCGCGCGGATGCGCACAATGCGCTTGATCTCGTCGGCGTCATAAGCGTGCGTCGGGATGATCAGAAGGCGCGCCAGGAAATCCGGCGGGATCCCGTGCGCCGCCACCAGGTCGTCGGTGCCGCGGATCGTGGTCATGCCGCGGTTGGACGCCAACACGACAATCGGTGCAATGGGCGACTCGAGCGCGCGGTTGAGGTACGTGAAGCACTCGACGTCGAGCATGTGCGCCTCGTCAATGAACAGCACGCCGGGCACCAGCTCGGCGACGCCCTGGTCAATGTACATGCTGACGACCTTGTTGATCTCGCCGCGCAGCTTGTCCGTAATCTCCGTCATGCGCGGCTTCATGAGCTGACCCATCATCGACATAATGTCCTGGCCGCCCTGGGGGCGCGCGTTGGCCATGTCGAGGTCGTGCAGCGTGACGTCCTGCACAATCTCCTTCTTCTTGTGCACCTCGCCCTTGGGGATGGGCACGTACTCCTCGGCTTCGAGATCAAACTCGGTGGCGTATGCGTCGGAGCGGCCGACGCGCTTGCAGGCGCCCGTGTTGGCCTCGATGTAGATGACATCGCCGACGGTGACGCGCTCCTTCTGGATCGCCTCGTAGATGCTGGGGTCCAGCCGCAGCTTCTTCTGGCCCTTGGCGCTCTTGAGGCCAATCAGAAGCGTGCTGATGGTCTTGCCGTAGCCGCCCAGCGGGTTCTCCGCCTCCTCGGGCGTCAGCTCTGTCACCTCGCCCTCGTACACCTCTTTTGTCTCGCGGACCTTGAGCCCGATGGCGCGCCGGAAATTCTCCATCAACATCTCCGTTTTCTTGACCTCGGTCGAGTACACCTCGCTGCCGACAATGGGGCAAAAGGGGATCTTGGTGCCCAGCTCCTGGCTAATGGCCAGCGCCAGAGCCGTCTTGCCCGTGCCCGGGCCGCCGGCCAGCATCACGCCGCGGCCGGCCATTCTGTGTGCGCGAATGAGATCTACAACGACACCGCATGCCTGAGAGACAGACGAAGCGACAACAAGTTAGTTGAGTCGTCCCCCCACATGCACGTCTTCCACGTTTCATGCTCCCACCTACCTCTCGTGCTGACGCCTGACCGACAAAGCCAGATGCCTGCCGTTCTGCCGTGCCATCGCTCTTCAGGCCGAGGCCCTTGATGTGCGTGTGGGAGGACGTGCGGTGGTCCCGGTTGCTGTTCTTGACCTCGCTAATCTGCACCATTTTGGGCGATTCGGAGTGTGGTCGTCCTGGCCGCGCCGTGCGGAAGCTGTGGTCTTCGGGGGTCGTCTGGGGGGGGGGCCGGGGTGGAAAGGACGGTCTTTTAAATACGTAGAAGCAGAGACTCGATGCGCGCGCAATGGATTGGACGGATGTCGCTGGATGACGACGAGAGAGAGATGCGGTCGTGGGAGCTGGAACAATGAGATGAGGTCAAGACGAGAAAACCGGACCGCTTGCTCTTTCTCTTCTAGACTTTTGCTAGGGAGGCGGGCGGCGCGCCTGCCAAATCTCTGGCGAACGCGACCGTTATCGATAAGGGAGCTGCCAAAGGATCAATTGGGTCACGTGCAGGCCGCAACGCATGACACGTCGTGCCTTCCTCTTGAGTTTCAGGGGAGATTTACATTTTCTACGTCGTACAAAGCTTCAATATAAATAAGTTCAATTTCCAATCATTGACGTACTGCCATTTAATATCTCGAGGTTCTATTTCAAACGAAGAAAATGACGCGCTCTACTGTGGTATTTATCGGCCTATTGCCAAGGCCTCTCCAGCACCATCTCCAAACGGCAATGTTCAGTGTGAACGGAAGTTCTCAATTTCCTCGTCACTGTCATCTTCGGCTGCAAGCATGGGAACAGCTTCGGGTTGTCTTCCCCTAGAGCCGACTAGGCCAACTTCAAGGTCGGCCGCGGAGCTCACAAACGGCGCGTCAGCCGCCGTTGCAGCGGCAGCCCCGGACGGCTCTGACAGCACACCCAACTCAGTTGCTATGGCTGGCGCACCAACGGCCTTGTTTTCCGGCGCCGGTTTCTTGGACAAGGCCGCCCAGAGCGCACTGCCAATGATCAGACCACAGCCCACCAAACTCGTGGGACCCATCTCGTGGCCAAACACAAAACGGTCAAAACCGGCGGCAAAGAGCATTTGCGTATAGACCATGGCAGTGGCCCGGTTGGAGCGCTCGAGACCGAGGCCCTTGGTGGCGAGGATCTGGGTGCCAAAGCCGCAGATGCAGATGAGCATCAGCAAGACCCACTGGCGTAGCGAATGCGGCAAGGCGAACTGCAAGGCTGGCTGGCCGATGTCAAGGATTGGAGCAAACGTCAGGACGCAGAACGTGACGACAATGCAACAGGTCGAAAAATAGTTAACGGAGACCAGAGTGTGGGCGCGAGTGCCGATGGCGCGGATGGTGGCAAAGGCAAAGGAGCCGCCGAGGACGCCGAACAGGGCGACGGCGATGGCCAGCAAACGTTGGCCAATGGAGATGTTGCCGGAATCGGCGTCGGCCATGCTGGACGAGGAGACGGACGGAGTGTCCAGAGCCGCGTCTATGGTGGCGTTGACCATGTCACGGACGGCCACGACGGTGGCGTTGAGAGCTCCAGCGTCGAAGCTATCCGATGGCTCGAACGACTCGGACGGCGCCGCCGCCGACGACGACGAAAACAGCGACAGCGGCCGCGTAATGAGAATGATGCCAAAGAATGCCACAACAGACGCAATCTGCTCCTTGCGGGTAAATGGATCCTTCAGCAGGATGGAGCAGATGTAGCCCGACACGCTGGGCGTCAAAAAGGTGAACACGGTCGCCTCGGCCAACGGCAGGTACATCATCGAGTACCACATGCCAAAGATGCCAAAGAAACCCGTGAGGCCGCGAACCACGAGCAGCCAGCGCACACCTGGTGGGCCAAAGGGGAACTGGGGTATGCGATAGTAGTGCATGTACCAACAGCTGACACCGGTGGTCACGAGCATGCGGACAAAGAGCAGCTGGACGGGGTGGAAGTTCTGGCCTTCGCTGTCCAGCTCCAGAAGGCGGGCAAACAGGTTCATCAGGGCACCGAAGAACTGGGCACCAAAGACGAGCAAGACGGCCTTGTGGCGGGCCCAGATGCGGGCCCACATGGGCTGTGGTGCGACCGTTCCGGGCGAGGATGCTGGACCATGCGATGTTGGGTAGGTGCGATACGCTGCCGAGGACACGGACGGGCCGTAGCCGGCGTCCGAGAAAGAGCCGATCGATAGGCGGTGGAAGGCATCGTCCTGCTGGAGCAGTCCAAGGTGCGAGTCACGGGTTTCCTGTTGTGACGGGTTCGGGGACACTGTCTTCTGGCGGTACCGGGCAATCTCTTCAGCATCGGCGGCTCGGTCGAGAGTGGAATAGGACGCGGTCCGATCAGAAGCGGAGGCAAGCTCGTTGACATGTTCATCAAAGTGTGTCTTGGCGCTGGGTGTCTGAGGCATCTGGATATAGGGCATCATGGTGGTGCTGGGTCCTATTCGTTTATGAAAGCGGTGAACGGGTGTCTCGTGTCATTTTGTGACTGGAGCCACTTTTGTCGATGGAAGTGGAATTTTTATCAGGTTTGATGACGAGGTGGACGACAATCACCTTGTCAGCTGGTGTAGATGAAACGTTCCGATGTCGAGTATATGTCCAGATGGGCCAGAGGAAGTGTGCTTTGTTGTGTTGTTGGGTAAAAACAGAGGACGGCCTTCTTTTGGGAGACGTAGTTTGCCGGCTAGGACGGATGTAAGCAGGCGGCAGGCAACGAAAGCTAACCGCAACCAAAATCCAACGGGAGGAACACGAGTCTCTGCAACAAAATGAGATGCGAGTCCCAAGAAAGCGGGATGGATGCAATATGGATTCAAAGTTTAAAAGTTTGAGCCGAAAAGGAGTCTAAACAGAAAAGCGAGGAACATAGAAATAGGATCTCATCTTTAGGCGGCCTGTTTTGTTTTCCATCCTGGTATACCCCTCTTTTCTTTCTCGCTCTTATGCCCCGGTCAACAAACTTTTGGCCCATGTAGTAGACGATGTACAATGACTGCTTACGGGCTGCTTGGACCCATCATTATTTGTTTTTAACGTGTCGAGTAGAGTTGTCAAAGGCTGGGAAAGGGGCGCGATAGCGGCGTGGGAGGATAAACTAGGCGAAAGAGGAGTCGTGCTTGGGCACGTTTTTTGTGGGCTCTTGCACGTCGCCGGTAGTGGGTCGCACTCAGCGGCTGCGGGTATCGGCGTCCGGTCCGGCCGCTACGAGCCAGGATAGGAGGAAAGGTGCACAATTTGGGAAAGAGCTACCAGTCTACCCAGTCAACAAGCCAATCACAGCATTCTCAGCTTTTGACAGTGTCGCATCAACAAGGAATAGAGAGGAGGTGCCTCATGTTCAATTGTCAGAACCGAATGTGCTGTTTCTGAAAATCGCTTCTTGGCGACATTTATATGGCACCGGGTATGTTCCGGCGATGTACGTGCCTACCGGAGGTGTCAACAGCTGTCCTACGAGAAATGTGAAAGGCAGTTAAATTTAATTGATATTACAGGTTGTCAGGCTGCTCTACCCGATGTCGTGGATATGAACTGTCTAAACCCCTGCAGGAACGACCGAAAGCGCCGTCTACTTGTGGTTGCTCGCAAATGTTTACCCCGAAAGTGCCCCAAGGTCTGAGAAATACAGGGCGGTTGACCGGTCAAATTGAACCCGATATCGCTGGAGATCGGCGGTCTTGGGCCCCGGGAACAGTTTCTCTCCAGTGTCTCTGAGTCGTCGACTTGTTACGAATTTTCTTGTTATTTCACTGCAAATTCCAGACTGACTTTTATTTCAACATTTCAGTTAGCTATTTAGCAAGAGGCAAAGTAAGAAAATAATTCTGTAAGGTTAAACTCTTGGCAGTGACTGGGCCGTTGCGCTAATACAGTGAGATACCTGGTGCAATGACGACAGTCCAACCTATTATTTGTGATATCCCCAGTCGTGCTCATTGAAGGGTATGAGCGTGCATGGAGAGATAACGCCATACCGACTTCAGAATGGCACGCAACATAGCGTGGGTTTAATTATCATTCAAATATACTGTCTTGTCGACGGACGGCTATACATGCATCGTCGCTTCATCCGTATTTCTTGAGCAGCTTGTCGACAATGCTCATAGCACCCCTGCGGTAGCTTCCGCCAAAAAGGGAAAAGTGGTTCAAGTGGTGATATAACTCGTACAATGCCACGCGGTCCTCCCACTCGTGGACCGGCTCGTCTTTGGGCACCAGCGTTGTGTACTCGCGCCAGAATGCCGACGAGAACCCCCCAAACATGCGCATGATGCCCAGCTCATACTCGGAATGGCCGTAGACACTCGCGGGGTCATACACGACCTCCTCGACGCCGGTGCTGTCGCCACCGCTGCCGACAATCCGTCCGCGGCTGTGGTTGCCGCTCCAAAGGTCGCCGTGAATGACGGCGGGCCGGATGGGTCCACCGCCGCGCTCGCTGCTGCGCCGCAGGTGGCCATCACCCAGCAAGCGCGGCACGACTGTAGATGCTAGGCGCTCTACGGACTCGGACAGCGTCTTGTCGGGGCCGTTGTTGCGCAGGCAGGCGGCGAGGATGTGGCGGAGGCGGTTGTCGGCGTAGAACTCCGACCAAGACGCTTTCCAGCTGTTGTCCTGCTCGGTGGAGCCGCAGCATGTCGTGACGGGGAAGCCAAACGGCGTGCCGTCGGGCAAGGATGTGTTCTCTCGCGTGTGCAACTCGGCCAGTTTCGACGCAAACGACAGCCCACTGCCAGCCCTGTTTCCACCCCCGCTTCCACCGAGCTCGAGAAAGTCTGTCGCTAAAAAGTGCTCTCCAGCTCGGTTCTGCATCTCTCCGTATGCGTGGGCCCGCGGGCAAAAGTCGGCGACGGCGTCAGCAATGGCGTTGAGCGACGCAAACTCGCCTCGGAACATGGTCGCGGCGCTGGCGCCGGTTCCCGTCTTGACAAAGTATTTCACGCGTTTGCCGTCTTTGTCGCCCGTCAATTTGTACGTCGAGGAAAAACCAGACCCGCCGTGGGACTCGATGCTGGCTGTCGTGCGGTCGAGGCCGAGCGCCTCGACGAGGGCTGGGTCGACGTTGGAAGGCATCTTCGACCTCGGACGTTCAGTTTCGAATGTCGAGGCGGCTTGCGAGTCTCAATAGTCAATTGACGACAACTTGTCAATCATTGCCTGGGATCAGCGGCCGTGTGGTGGTTTGTTGAGGACACTGGCACGAGACATGATGTTGAGGATGTGGCATTGTACGTGCTCGGAGGCTGGTCGCGTTGCGGTTTTGCTGAGGGGCAACGACGTAATAGATTGGCAGACAATACAAACTACGCACCTGCCCGCCAAACACTGCTAAGTCATCCTCTCACGACAAGCAACTACGATCGACATCAACAAGCCCCAAAAACACACGGCTGTGTCATGATCTCAGGCCAGAATACGACACCACCTGCATGCTGTACCGCAAAGGCAGGGAGACTTCCCGTGCCGCTGCAGCATGGCCGGTGCTATCCGACTCGGTGTGATTACAGTGTAAACCATTCGTCGGTGTCTCCCGAGAACGAAGAAACGATGAAGATGTCGCAAGACGGCAACGCATTTTGTAAACACGACATAGCACTGTCTATATGCTCGCTGAATCGATCCAGAGGCATTTGGCTACAGCGAAATTTTCCTATCGGAACCAGAATTTCTGAGTGGCAGAACACATGACATCATGTCACCTTGTGCAATGGGCGCCAAGGTACAGAATGCTGTAGAATAGGTGCTGAAGACGGTGGTGATGCGCTAAAGTACGCTATAGCGCATTGACTTGCAGCTTTGGCTTCGCCACAAAAAAAAAAAAAAAAAAAAAACGACAAATACTTGCCCTTCGGAATTGACTCGGCAAGCGTTCGGCACGATGATGCCACACTGCATTCGCCCCCGAAAAGGGGTCCTTCTCACGTGTGAATGGGCAAGAAATTTAGATTAAATAAATAAAGTACGACAAGTGCTGTACAGTTTATTGGTTTATGTGTCTGTCCACCAGTCAGCGGCCTTCCTCTCAGAGAGAATCTGGATGTAGTCAAAGTCGCTTTCTACTTTGAGGCTGGCATTGGTTCGGATGTGAAACTTTTTGCGAAATATGTATTTTGTTGTATGCATTTTTATTATTATATATTTTGTAGAGTAGTCTTGTGTCGTACCGTGCATGATTTTGAGCTTTATCCAAGAAACGCCTCGCACTGTCCGAACATATCCCGAGTGAGAAATGCAAACCGAAAAAGAAAAGAAAAAAGTGGAAAGATGGAAGTGAATACCATCAACCGTCGCTTGTCGATGGAAATGTCTGTTGTGCCTGCAATGGTGTGAACGTCACAACAGGTTGGGGGCCACACGGCGCGCCCTGCCTGCCGTTGTGCCCCCCTTGACATCCTAGGCTTCCCATTCAAGACACTGGTCATGCAGCCTTGTCCCTTGATAAGAACTCTGTTTGTCCGTTTGGCTGCGTTGCCAAGTGTGCTGAGATGTGTTTATTGCCAATAGTGTGGCGTCGAGGGCGGGGGGAATGTAGTCAAAAATAAAGACAAAGATAAAGATGGCTTGCGGTGAAATTTGGCAGGACGTAAATGATAAAATGGTGTATCAACGCTAAAGTGGAAACGGACAAACGACATAAAAAAGAGAGGAGAATGGAAGAAAAGAAAAGCAGAAAGCCACAACACAGTACAGTATGTCGTGAGAGCTTATATCATCGCCGCCGATTTAGTACTTGTCGCCGTAGACAGAGCTGGCTGCCGAGGCCAGCGTGACGGATTGCTTCAGCGGGTGCATGTCCGAGGCCACACTCTCCTTGCTGGTGTTGGTCTTCTTGATGAAATGCAGAGGTGACTTCTTGTCCTTCGACGACGAGGCTGCGGATGGTTTGGGAGCCTTTGGAGCCTTGGGGGCCCTGGGCGGCGCGAGCCTGTGGGAGCCGTACTCCCAGCAGTCGTTGCAAGGGCACATGGGTGCGCCTTCGAGCTGGCGTCCACCCTCAAGCTGCGTCGGGTTGGGGCTGGCGAGGGCGAGTTTGCTGGGCCATAAGTTTTTGGAGGAAGAGGACGAAGAGGAGGCCGAAAACGCGGGAGGAGACATGGCGATGAGATACGGTGGTGTGTGTGAGGTTGAGGTGGGCAATGAGGTGATGTTATGTTGACGTTAGGATAGACAAAGTCAAACGAGTTTTGGTCAACGTATGCCAAAGAGAGTCTGCGGGCTTGGAATTGAGGAGTAAAACACAAATAAAAACAAAGAGAAGGAATCAAAATCAGAAGAAAGAGGGCCCGGCCGAGACTTATACTACTGGGATGTCATTTTTCGACTGGCAGAAAGTGCAAGTGCGTTCAAACTCGGTTCGGGAAAGCGCCACCAACAAGCCAAGCGTCTGTTGGTTTAGGTCAAACAAAAGCAGTCATAACGCGACAGCCGTGGATTGGGGGCAAATGCAAAGCGTGTAAAGCCGAGACCCAAGATACCCGATCAGTACTATTTTTGCAGAAACGCAAGACAAAAATGTCAGAGCGAAAAGGGTTGTAGGAAAACAGGAGTGGATGTTGAGGCTTGGCATCAAACCTGTTCCGGGCTCCACTGACCGGGCGTTCCTTCCTGACCTTGTCACCAGTGAGCCCATTCTGTCTCTTCTATCTCTGTGCTGTTTCCTCTTTAAGCATATGTTCTGCTAATCCTTTGTTCTTTCCTTCTATACACTCTTCCACTCCTGAACCGCCTTTCCTTTGCCCTTCCTTTGCCCTTTCCTATCTTGGTCGGTTTCGAGCGACGACGCTCCTTCCATCGAATCGACTTGTTTTGACATAACAAGCCGTCCCTTGCCCTGGGGCAGCAGGAGCCACCCAAGCCAGTCCAAGCCTAACTAGACCTAGGGCCATCCCGACTTACACCCGTGAAAGACACTAACCGCGCGCCCAGCCTAAACTTTTCCCTCTTCCCTCGGTGGCAGTGGCACCAACCCGGCAAACCAAACGAGACTTTGTCTGGTCATTCCTAAGCTTTGGCACCAGGACGAACGAAAAAACCCACGGTCGCCTCCCAAAGACGGCGCCGAACGCCCCAAACGCTCCTCCTCGAACAACATGGCCTCATGGCTTTCGAACTAATCAGTCGGTGACTCTTGGCCCAGTTGGATTGGGTTCTTTTGCCGAATGTTTGGCGTTCCTATTCACAAAATACAAAATACAAAACATCTTCGGAGTCATACGTCGTACGTGGCAAGGACCCTTTTCTGTCGAAAGCTTTGTACGTCGTAAGTTGCGTCGCATGAGCTTCGAATGTGGAGTATGAGCTCCATCGCGGAACTGACAACCTTTTTCTCCAATTTTTCTATTTTTTCCTTTCCGCTCCGTTTCCTTACAGCACCAACCGACTTGCGACGCTATCGGATGACGGACATTCGTCCAATCACGGGGCCGTCGCATAAACAACTTCTGGCCGTCCAAATGCCCGTTGAATATGCCACGACATGCTCCGGCGGAGCGGCTCTTTTCTTACTTCTTACTTCTTACTTTTCTTGTGTCTGGGCTGGCCTGATCCGGCAAGGCTCGTCTCGACTTCTGTAATCTGTCAATGTCGCGATGCCATGACGCCTTAAGTGACTCTGATATTTTGACTCTTTTGTATGTCGCTTTGTCACAAGGCGCGAGGTCGTCTTGACATTTGACTCTTCCTGATTACTTTACTTTCGAGATGACCTTTCGCCCAAGTGCTATGCTTCACGTGGGGGTGACCAATGCGCAAACTCGATGCGATATCGGTGCCTTTTGTCCGGCAATCAGGTCGCGAATTGTTTTTTATTTTATTTTATTTTTTATTTTTTTGCCTTTTTTATTTTTATATGACGTTGTCAAACAGTACAATGTAGCAGTCTCGTATCCCGCAGATTAGGAGTTCCGACTGGCCGCTCCGAGAAACGGTTGTCAAACTGCCCGTTTTAGGCCGGCATATTAAAGAGGACAACTTCAAGTTGCTTACGTTCTTCTTGACGCTTACGAAAATCAGTTTACATTCGAGATTCTTTTACATTCCGAGATTGACTAAATCACGATTCAACAGGAGAAAGCCGCGTACGGAGCAAACCGTTTTCCGTCGGCACAAGAAAACGCAATGTCCAAACTCCGGGCACATCCAGAGCAATAAAATGATTGGCCAGAGACCTCTAGTTGTGGGCCGCACTACAAATGTCAAACGGTGAGCTGTGGCGAGTAGGCGACAGTATGTCTAGAAGCAAAACAGAATAAAACTATGACAAAAATATATAAAAGGTACGTTTACTCGAGGATGGAACTCGGACATTCGGAAGCCGGCAGTTGCCGTAGCATGTGCCCACTCTGACAGGTGCATGAGATCGACTTGACAGTCTAAAATTGTACCAAGTACTTCTGGTCGTTTACTTGATCATGCAAGATCCCAAAAAGGCAGAGATCACCTGCCCAAGCTATTCCGATACTGTACTCCGTAACTGTAATGTAACTTCGTCTCCTGCCGGCAGCCTCTCATCGTCTTACAAGGCAGCCCCTTCCCGTTATTTGACTCGAGGCAAGCCCTTATGGCACCTTACACTTCGCTTTGTTTTCACTGTTCAAACTCTATCGAGTCTAACTTCTTGTCTCACCGGCCTAAGCGAAGCACGGTATTATTGTTTGCTTCTTGTATCTCTTCCGCCCTTCCGTACGGACTTGGTCACGGAGGATGGGACTCGAGGCCACAGAGTGTATGACGTACAACATGACAAGACGGGAGTGAAGAGAAGGAGTGCGGAGTATACCGCAGTGTAGAAATATGCTGCGGAGAAAAAGAAGACTCGGTGAGAATATGCATTACGATGAGAGTCAAGTATAGCCAAGGTGAACAAGCTCACTTGACTCCTCGTGCTTTGATCGACAGCTCTAAAGCCAATGAAAGTTGAGAGACCAATGGAGCTTTCCTTATGGGTTCTTCTTAGAGCTACGGAGCAATGAAGGAAATGGAATATCCAGGCGCCGAGATCTGCAGGTCTTCCCCAAGCTGTCAAAGGGTGCCAAGATCCACAAGACCTTTGTATGTGGATATTTTCCTCGGAGAGGAGACAAGCAGAAGTGAAGAATGAAACTAACAAGGAGACTTCATGTCGCAATCGATCGCACAAAAAACAAGTCTGGCATTCCCTAAAATAATAAAGGCCAATACCAAATGCGACAAAACAGTGAGGACAGTCAGATTAGAACCAAATCACAAATTCTATTTGTTACGATTAAAACTAGAGGATGCGCGTGTATGCAAAACGATGGGATCTGGGGCAAGGGTGCGGAGGAAATGTGAAGGAGTAAAATGCAGTGTCAGCAAGTGGCTGTTTTTGTCGAGTTGTTTTTGTGTAAAGTCTTCGTCGCGCAAAGTCGTTTGGGTTTATATGCCCCCCTTTGTGGTCCCTAGAGATGCCCAAGCCTGTTTAAGAACATCCCCTTTTGTCCCTCTCGGATCATGACGCTCTACATCTCACGTCATGGCCTCCCCCTGCTCTTGGCTCTTGTGGTGCGTGTCGCTCCGTTGCCTCCATCTCTCTAGATGCCCAGCGTGAACTCGACACCAACGTCAATCTCGCGAGCTAAATCTGAGTTAGCATTGAATCACCATAAAAAAAAATAAAAATCAAAAATCAAAAAAGACAGCGCATGGAGCATTGTACTCACCCATCTTCACGACCTTGGACAGCTGCACGGCCTTCTCGGCGGCGCTCTGGAGGTCGTCAATGGAGAAGATCTTGAGGCCCGAGTCGTTGATCAGCTTGTGGGCCTGCTCCACGTTGGTGCCCTGCAGACGAGCAATGATGGGGATGCGCAGGTTCAGCGTCTCGACCGTCTTGATCAGACCGTGCGCAATGGCGTCGCACCGCACGATGCCGCCAAAGATGTTGACAAAGACGGCCGTCACGTTGGACTCGCTCGTAATCAGCTCAAAGGCCTCCTTGATGGCCGCGGGCGTGGCACCGCCACCAACGTCCAGGAAGTTGGCCGGGGCGCCGCCGTTCAGCTTGATAATGTCCATGGTGGCCATGGCCAGGCCGGCACCGTTGACCAGGCAGCCAATGTCGCCGTCGAGCTTGATGAAGTTGAGGTTGGACTGGGCGGCGCGGACCTCCTCGGGGTCCTCTTGGGTGGTGTCGCGCCACTCAAAGACCTCCTTCTGGCGGAAGTCGGCGTTGTCGTCAAAGTTGAACTTGGCGTCCATGCACATGGCGCGGTGGTCCGAGGTCTCGGACAGGGGGTTGATCTCGATCTGGGTGGCGTCCTTCTCCTGGAAGATCTTGTACAGCTTCTGGATCGTGTCCTTGGCCTCCTCGACGCACTGCTCGCTGAAGCCCAGGTTGGTGGCGATGCCGCGGGCAATCTCGTCGGTGACGCCGACCTCGAGGTCAATGTAGGTGGTGTTGATGGCGTCCGGGTTCTCCTTGGCGACGGTCTCAATGTCCATGCCACCCTGCGACGAAGACACAATGACGGGCTTCTGGGTGGCACGGTCCATCAGGACGGCCAGGTAGAACTCGCGGCGCGCAAACTTGCGCTCGCAAATGTAGACGCTGTTGCACAGCCGGCCGCCAGCGCCGGTCTGCTTGGTGACGAGCTTGTGGCCAATCATCTGGTCGGCGAACATTTTGGCCTCGGTAGGCGAGTAGATGATGCGCACACCGCCCTTGAGGCCGTTGTCAAAGGTGCCCTTGCCACGGCCGCCCGCAAGGACCTGCGCCTTGATGACCATATCATCGGTGCCAATGCTCTTGGCAACATCCTCGGCCTCCTCGGCCGTACGTGCAACGGCGCCGTTGGGGACAGCAATGCCATACTATTGAAAGAACGAGACAATACGTCAGTTGTCAGTCTTACTCGTCACTGTCCTCCACAACTGCAGCCAGGATCTCATCCAGATGCTGCATCATGACAGGCACTGCGGGCGGTTCTGTTTCTTTCTTGACGGAAACTGATCGTCTCCTCCCAGGATCGCTACGCACCTTGCGCATCAGGTCCGCAGACAGGTACTCGTGGATGCTCAGAGCTCGCCGCTGCTGGCTGAGCGCGGGAGCACGAAGGACGGAGGGGTTGAGCTGCTGCTGTGTCCGGGACAACAAGATGTCGTTAGCATTCGTTCTTGAAGCAATAGAGGTCGTCTGGCAGAGGGGAAAGCATGTCCAAAACCAGCTTCTCGGTATGGCCGAGGCATGCCGCGATAAGCCGCATTGCGGCCTCAGCCAGACGTGTCTCTGTCCACAAACAAATGAGCCACGACCAGTCGGAATGCCGGGCATAGAGCATACCTTGGAAACAGCAAAGGCCGAAGCCAGAGCTCTGCTGCTGCGGCCGAGCTTGAACATGGTGTCGGATTGGGGTAGAGGGAAGATCCGAGCTGCGAGAGCTTCGTGAGTTTTTGAGGGGCGGCGTTGTCGGGTCGGTGAGGAGGGGACAGCTGTCGAGTCAATCGACAGATGGAGAGAAAGGGGATGCGAAGGAGGCGGCGAGGAGAAGCGATGCCAATCGGGATGACCGGGGGGGAGAGGAGACGGAGAGATGAAGTGTCGTCGTCGTCTTTTTAGTGGTATTTTGAGGGGAAATCGACACAGTCGAAGAGAGGGGGCTGTTTCGCGCTTTTTCGCTGGTGTGCAAATGCACCTATCCTGGCCGCGGCAGGACCCCAAAACCTGTCCCTACTGGCTGTATTCGGCCCTCTCTTCACCGGCTGCTCCTGCCTCCTCAGGTGCGGGCGGTGAACGAGGTCCGATTTAGCGTACGATCCCCTGAGCCTAGTTTTTTACTGGGCCATGCGGGCCATTCGGGCACTACAACACCACAAAACACCCCAAAACAGCGCTGGGGGAAGGGACGTTCGGCTTGGAAATTGTCGGTTGTCGGAGAGGTTAGGAAACGACGAGTTTGCAGGACCCAATGGGCGCTGTGATTGGCCCAGAAGACGCCCCGCAACATTGCCCAGGTACGATTCCGTCTCAAACAGGCCACTGCACACCGCAACTGTCTCACGTGCATTTTCATATGACTGTAATTTGCATCGCATCTTCTGCACCATTTTCGATCGTGAACGGTGTTCTCCCGACTTGTACGGAAGTCTGCACCCGTGCGCCGTTCTCGTCTTGCCAGGGCACGATGCAAGTGGATACTATCTTTCTCGCGTCATAAAACGACTCATTTTTGCGGCAGCGTGCTTCCTAGGCTTGAGGGGTGCCAAAAACCGGAATCGAAAAACGATCGGGAGGCTGCGCATGAACTTTTATTACTCTCGAGACCATACTGCAGAAAACGCTATTAGTGCAAGTGACAAAACAGGTGCAACAAACTGAAAACACGATGCCATCCAACTTGGAGCAAAATCAACAGGGGCCAAAAGCTGTGCGAGGTGAACAAAGAATAGGTACATATATCATCCAGCAAACCAAACAAGCAAACGCATAGTGCACGCAAAACGCCGGCTTAGATAAAACAGCTGGGGCTCGACGAGAGGTGTTCACGCTCCATCTCGTGCTCCCGTTCGTGTGCCTGGTAGCACTCCACCTCCCGCTGCCACATCTCGATACTGATATGCTGGCCATGGACCCCGTCTGCGTCGGCATCCCCAGACGGTTCGTCGTTGCATAGCCCGCCGTCCATCGCATGTGTCTCGTTCGTTTGTCCAATCCCTCCAGTCTCTGTCATCTGTGTGATTGGTTCCGTCTCAGCAACATCTTCGTCCTCCTCCCATACGGGACCCAGCGTCCGCCACATCTTGACGTCAGCGACAGGCCATCGCCGTGGCGACAGATCGTCTGCTTCCTCGGGAACGGGTGGCGGCTCCTAACGGCCATTCTCCTCGGCGCCGACAAGCACGTTGCTGAACGCATCCGAAATCTCTCGCTTCGTCGGCGGTCGTAGAGCCTCGCCGTGGATCGCATAGCCAGCCGACAGACGGCTCTGCATGAGCTTGAGGAGCACCGGAGGCACAGACTCATCCGTAGCACGGATTGTCAAGCGGACCATCTGGGACGTGTTAGCATGTACTATTCTTTGTCAAAAATCACACAAAAGGCAATGCAATCGCAAGACACAGGGGCCAAGTACCTGAGTGCCGTAGTTGGGCTCCAGCCGCAACAGGCAGCCAAACTTGCCGCCCTCGGACGTGTGCACCACACTGGCACCGACGTAGTTCTTCTGGTTGGGGTCGACATTCTTGAGCAGGCCCCACCGGAACCCTTCGAGCACCTTGCTGATGAACGTCTCGTTGAACTCGCGCTCCGACTCGCGGCCCCCTTCGATGCCAAACACCTGCTGTGCCTCGCGCGGTGCGCCGCCAATCTGCTTCCAGCGCTTGAAGAAATCTTCGCCCGCCAGCTCCGTGGCGTCCATAAACTTGTGAATGGCCACCGGCAGCTTGAGTGTAATGGCCTGCAGAGCACCGGCCAGGTAGCTCACGCGGATGGTGGGGCTTTTCTCAAAGACCGTCTTGGCCTCGAACATGATGACCTGCTGTGACTGCGCGGCGGGGCCAATGTTGGTGTCCGGAAGGTTCTTGACGTCCCACGTCAGTTTGCCCTTTTCGGACTCGTCGAGGTCGAGCGTCGTCGTAAACGACGTGATGGTCGCCGGCGTCTTGTTTGTAAAGTACAGGATCAGGCAGGCAACCTGGCCACGGTACTCGGACCGCACGCCTACCTGCAGCTGGCCGTCCTCGAAGAGCACGCCGTCGGCCCGGAGCATGAGCCGGTTGAAGCCGCGCTCCCAGCCCGGCGACAAGTGGGCGGCACTCGCCAGGTTTGGCGTCTTGGCCGGCTTTGTGTCGCCGGACAGCATGTGCATGTCGATGCCGGCCAGGTCGTTGATGGACTTGGACTGGCCGTTGGCGGCGCCGTTGGCCGAGCCGTTGGGCCCACTGCCGTTGACGTGGTGGCCGTTGCCGTTGGGCGACGATGCGTCGTTGGTGCTGAACGTGCGGCGCAGGCCCGGGTTCTTAACCATGCCCAGCTCGCCCGAGTCGGTGTTGGCGTCCTTACCGCCCACCACCCACGTGCGCTTGTCGCTGGTGTTGGCGTGCTTCTGGTGCAGCCGCGAGAGCAGCGCGGACTGCCGCTCCGGGAACGGCGGCATCTCGTCCAGGACCGTGCGCAGCAGGTCGTCTGTCGGCATGTTGACGAGTGCCAGGTACTCGCACGCCCGCTGCTGCAGCTCCGAGTCCAGCGTGTGGCTAAAGACCTCAAAGACGTGGACCAGCTGCGGCTTGATCTCGGGGAACAGGTTGACAAACTTGACAAAGCAAGACAGGATCATGGCCTTGGTGCTGGCCGAGCAGGCCGGCACTTTGTTCTGCAGGGCTAGAAACTGCTCGATGGGGCTGCACCCGCGCTCCTCGGCGATCAGATGGCCAAACTCGCCGAGAATGTACGTGCCAATCTTGACCAGCGTCTCGTGGCAGTGGTCCTGCTTCACGTACATGAGGCTGTTCTTAGCAGCATACACCTGGAGCTCCTCGTTGTTGGTGACAATCTGGATGACGCGCTGCCACACTTCGTCGCTGACGTGGTCGCCGGCCATGGCGATGAGCCGAAGCGTGATGTCGACGTACCACTGGACGTCGGTGGCGTATTTTTCGGTCAAAATGGCAATCTTGAGCACCATCTCCTCGCGGATGGCAAAGTCGGCATTCTGCAGGTAGTGGAGGAGCTCGCCAACAATGCGCGTGGCGTTGGACGAGTCGCACATGCTATACAGCAGATCGAGGCCCTTGCGCCGCACGCTGATATCCCGATCGCGCAGGGAGCCAACAATAATGTCCTGGTGCTGCTTGATGGGATCGAGCGTGTCGGCACGCGCGGCGAGATGCGTCATAGCCTCGAGGCCGAGGTAGCGTACATTGGTCTCGCGCGACTGGATGAAGCGGCCGAGGCGGGACGAGATCTGCTTCATCAGGGCGTGCTCCGTGTCGAGGTGGATGATGAGGTTGATAGCCTCAAACAGCACCGCGTTCTGGGCGTTGTTCTGCTGCACGTTCTTGTTGGACTCCATGGCGTGGTTCAGAACCTTTTGCAGCGACTCGCGGATCATCTCACGAATGTGGCTGTCCTCGGACGGCGGGAAGTACTGCAGCAGGCGCAACAGCTTGACCTGCAGCCACGGGCAGGGTACCTTGTAGTACAGGTAGTCGGCCGAGTACTCGCCGTTCACGACGATGCGCTTGAGACGCGCCGCAGCCTTGGCGTAGGCACCCTTGTACTGGTCCGGGTTGTCCTGGGCCACGGCCATGACCAACGACGTCACGGACAGGGCGACGCCGAGATCCACGTCGTCCATCAGCGAGATGATGCGCTCGCCCCACTGCGGCTGGACGATGTCGGGGAATTTGCGGTAGAGACGGAGCAGGGTCAGGGCGGCCTTTTTCTTGACAAACGATTTTGATGTTGGCGAAATCAGCAGTCTGTGCACTTCGCCGCTCAAGGCCTCGCCCATCTCGCGGCCACCGACGTTGGCAATCGCGTGTAGCGCTAAGCAGTTGAACAGCTCGTTGTGGTCGAGAAGGTCCTTTCGTATGCTGTTGACGACGAGGTGGAGCAGCTCATGCTTTTCGTGGAGGAAGAGAGTCATGGCGAGGTAGCCGATCTGCTTCTCGGAGTACTTGGTCGCAGAAATCAGGTTGACGGCCTCGAGGTGGCCAAAATCGACGTTCCAGCCAAGGATGTAGATGTAAAGAAGCTACCAGAGTGTCAGTTCGGGTTTACCGAGGGCGTAGAGTTGCCGCAGCGGCCGCCAAGGGCCATCTCACCTTGCAAACGTATTTCTTCTTGTGATAGCCACTGAGGTTGCCATCCTTGAACTTCTGCCGAATGTTGGCCAACTCCTTATTGATGCGCTTCTCCTCCAGCTCGCGTGCGCGGGCATTTCGCAAGTCAGCAATAAACTGCACCAGACCGCGCATGTTGGAGTTGCTGGTGCTGGAGCGGCCTAGGAAGCCGCCCGTCGACGACGACATGACGGACGGGCCTCACGGAGGATAGAGACAATGGCGGCGGGGTACTCGATGCCGGTGCTGGTGTATCCAGGTTCCGGATGGTGGCGGCACGACCTCCGGAAGTGAGAGCCGGCGCTGGTCACCCCTGAGACGTAGGCGTGAGCAAAGGATCAATCAGGGCTCCTGTTGTCGTCGGCAAGAAAGGCGGCACGGCACGTCGTTCTGGCCGGGTGAAGATATAGCCGGATCAAATTGCTGGAGACAATCTGGTAGACCGTCGAAGAGGGGGGGGGGGGGGGCGAAGGATGAGAAGGCTGTGATGATGAGTTCGTGATCGAAGCGCCGGCAGGAGGGCGGCACGCGCGGAAAAGGACAGACGCTGCACAGGGAAAGTCGGACGGCTGCACCGGTAGTCGGTGTCCTGCGCGATCTGATGTTAGAAAGCAGCGCCAAGGGGAGGCGATGGGGAAGATTGCAATCGGACAAAAAAACAGAAAGGAGAGCTCTCGTCGTAACTATTTTGCCGTGGATACTTGTTTGGGGCGGCCATGCCGCTTCTGGGCTTGCCTGTCGTTGGCGCTTTCCCTTCTGGGCGGCGTTGGTGGATGGTTTCCCCCTTTCCTCAAGTCCCCTGCCCCGCCCCGCGGCTGCCGTTGTAATTACTCACCGCGTGGTCGCAAGGAACCCGCAAAAAAAGGGAAAGAGCAAGTGTGAGCTAAGTGTGGCTGTTACTGTGGCTAACCCGCCTGACGAGGCCAACATACAATGACGTTCAGGTGCATTTACAGCAGCGCCCTTTGAGCCCCATTGACAGCTGATTTCTTATATTGACAGACTCTGCCTAGAGCTATGGACCAAACCCCCATAATTTTGTTTTCTCCTACCAAGTCTTTGGCAGAGACGAGTTGAAGAGAGAAAATGCAAACATTCTGTGTCTGCGGCCAAGCGACCACGCCGTTGAGGCAGGCGGTGCTGGCGGCTGCGCGTATGCCTGCTTCGCCTTTGTCGGTTTCGGCGTACCCCATACCACCACGTTGGTCGTCACGGCGCGGCTATGCCGTCCAGGCTGGCGGAAAGCCCGTGTTCGAGGTCTTCAACCGCCGCGCAAAGTGGCTCCAGAAGGAGCGGGCAGCTGCCAATGTGGAGGCCAGCCGACAAGCCGATTATTTGAAAGACGAAGTGGCCATCCGGCTCTGCGAGCGGTTATTAGTATGTACATAGAGTGATCACTCTTCATGGGCCCCTACTATGCCAAAAGCCTAACGTCAGTAGGACATCAAACGTGACTTCCCACGAGCCCTCGACTTTGGAGCAAACTCGTGCAATGTGGCCCGCGCGCTGGTCCGGCCAGATCCCGATCCGGCAGTACCCGGCACGCCTCCATTGTCCTCGCGCATTCAGCAGCTGGTCGCGGCCGAGTCGTCGGCTGGCCTGTTGTACCGCGACGTCGACCTTCCTTTTAATCAGGAGATTGACATTGCGCGCCATGTCATGAGTTTCACGGAAGAAGAGGGCAGCGGCGCAGCCAGCGCCAGCGGCGACGGCCCGCCAACGATTACAGCAGACTCGCCGTTTTCGGCCGAGTCGTTTGATCTCATCCTCAGCAACCTGAGCTTGCACTGGTCCAACGACCTGCCCGGCGTCCTGACACAGATCAACCGGCTGCTGAAACCCGACGCGCCGTTCTTGGGCGCCATGCTCGGCGGCGACACGCTGTTCGAGCTGCGTACGTCGCTGCAGCTGGCAGAGCAGGACCGCCGTGGTGGCCTGTCGCCGCACGTGTCGCCCCTGGCGGATGTGCGCGATGTGGGCGGGCTGCTGCAGCGGGCAGGTTTCTCAATGCTGACGGTGGACGTGGACGACATTATTGTGGACTACCCAGACACGTTTGCGCTGATGGCGGACCTGCAGGCGATGGGAGAGAGCAGTGTGATTCTGGGGCGGGAGATGGGCGCGATTGGCCGGGACGTGCTGCTGGCCAACGACGCCATCTACCGGGAGCTGCACGGCAACGAGGACGGTTCGATTCCGGCGACGTTCCGGATTATCTACATGATTGGGTGGCACCCGTCGACCAAGGAGCCACAGCCGTTGCCCCGGGGCAGTGGACAGATCAACCTCAAGGACGTGCTTGAGAAGAAGTAAGCAGCGAGTACTGTACCAAACAATATAGAGACATTGCAAGACATTTTTCGAACCCCACACAAGCACATATATGGCACATACATGCACACACGTGCACACATAGAAGACTAGTCCATTAAAAAAGAAAACATCACGAGAAGCTGATTTCGCTATTTGACTCATCTATGTACGTACAGACTCGCATTGGTACTGCACCACTAAACCCCAATAATGCAAAAAGCAAATACAACACAGCTGCCCACATCAAATCAAGAGTAAGTGTGGCTCGTGAGCTCTTGAGCCACTGTGTGCATCCGCTCCTCCCAGCCGTGGGGTCCCCTCTGCTCTCTGCACTCCACTCTCTTACACCCTCCGCCAGTCCGTCATCGTGCGCTGTATGCTACCCAGGCCGGCGACCTCGACCACCTTCTCGTGCCAGCTCAGCAGCACACTCATCGCGGCACCCGTCGAGTCGCCACCGCCCTGGCCGGGAAGGAAGCCCTTGGTAGAGCCGAGGTTGCCAATGGTGTTGAAGCCGCTTGTCGACGTGCGTGTCGGCGTGTGGGGGGTCGACGAGCCCGAGCCCTTGATCGTGGCCATTCCTTTGTACCTGGGGCGTGATGAGGAGGGTTAGTGGCGGGCAGTGCAATCGGGGCAGATGGAGAGGCAGACGCGGTGGGTGACGCACAAATACTTCATGAGAACATCGAGGAGCTCGCTGCCATTCTCGGTCGCGTACAGACGCTTCAGCAACGGGCTCATGTCGCTCGCCTTGATGGACTGCAGCACCTCGAGGATGGTTTGCAGAGCGGCCTCCTTGGCGCCGTCGGAGCCGACGTACACGGGCATTTCCAGGCAGCCACGCAGGGCCCCGTCGTTGTCGCCGCCGCGCAGCAGCTGGCGCACCTGGCCGGCAAGCTGGCGGACCTCAGGCTCCGTGATTTCGGGGACGGGCGGCCGCAAGGTGGAGACGTCGAAGTTGGCTGGGCTGTCCTCCTCGAGGGCATCGATGTTGATGGTGCGCCAGGCGTCGCCGAGGGACGCGGCGTTGTGCTGCTGGATGATCGACATCGCGGATGCGTGGGTTTGATAAAGTGGTGAGGCAAATTGTCGTGTGTCGTCAATTGATGTCGCAACAAGAAATAGTGGAGGTGAGAGGTCAGAGTCGGAGCTGCACAATGGTGGCGATGCGTGACGACGATGCGCAGCAGTTTGGTGGGTAGGCAACTGGCGTTTGGTGCGGGGCTGGGCGTACCTGCTGTTGTAGTAAGCTGGGTGCAGGTGGCCCCACTCTTTTGAATTGGTGGAGGAAAGAGCTATTCGCTATTATGTCGACAGCGGGTCGTTCTTGCCTGTGTAACAGCATACTCGATCAAAACGGAAGGCACCGCGAGGCTGAAGACTGCAACTAAACCCAGACACAGTCAATTTACAAAGTAATCTCAGCCATAGTTTTATTTCCATATAACCCGCATATGCCGCACGAGAATGCCTTCTGCCCAGGCGGACATAGAAGCCAAAGCCACGCTCACAAACGAACTTCCGTAGGCAGCTAGATTCTACGAGAACGCGGTCCTATGTTATCCATCCGACCTGCAACAAAAGACATAGATGGGCCCACGGTGCACCTGAGTGAGTGCCTGCAGTAGCCGATAGGATGCGTCCCTAACCCTCTCTTGTTCCATTTACCAGATCAGCTGTAGCATCGCGCTCAGCCCAGCGGCCTGAGGTGCATGGCTGCATGGCGGGATGCTGCCATCCCATTGTTGCGCGCAACCGGTACGGCTGCATGACAAGCCCCGATTAAGAAGCCACAGCAGGCCCACAGCGGGCAGCCCGCGGGCAGGCGGCCGAGAATATCACCAAAAGCAGCCAAACACAGGGTAATAACGGTGGTCTGTTATAAGAAAGGCATGCAGCATGCAGACCAGCTGTCTGGGTCCCGCCGAGTGATGGCCGTTTCCGCTGGTGAGGCGAAGAAGGGGCGTGTTGTTAGCGGCAAAGACCTCAAATGGGACGTCGTAGACATTCTCTTGTGTTGTGAACGCTGTGCAACATGCCCAGATGCTCTTCGTCTTGGGTGGCGGACGAAAGAAAAGGAATGTCAGAGAACAGAAAATGACGCAGTATGCACAGCCCAGTTCTTCGGCCTGCGATCTCGTCCAATCTTTATTCTCGTTCCATTCTCTCGTTTCTCAGTGGCCTGGGCTGTCCCCCAACCATACCTTGGATTTACAGAGTAGCGCACCCCACTCGACGTAAAACGGCAGGCCCGGCACTTTGAAAAGTTGTCTTCCAGTCTTCCGCCTACTTCCGTGCTTCCCTGTGGTTGACCTTATTTGTCGCAAAATCGAGGAAGATGAAGGGGGAGGGGTGTGATATGGAAATGAGGGAGAGAGTAAGAGAAGGGTCAAAAAGAGGTGTGTGTGTGTGTGTGTGCAATGTGTCATGACGTGGGATGACGGCTACCTATCGTGGCTTGTTTCAAAACATGTACGCGCAGTGCGAGGAAGACAAAGTGACCCGGCAGAAAAGCACCGAGAAATAGCAGGAGCAGTGAAGTGGCAAAGACAAAATAAGCCCGACAGAAGTGGTTGCTCCCACCACCGGATGTGGTGGTGTTATTGAAAGCACGAAATGGATGGGCAAATCGACTAGACGACCGTCAAAATACACTTGCATCGAGATGGTCAATGCAAGAGATTGCTCAGGGGGCCAAAAACTTGCCATACAGAGCAAAAGTAGGGAGAATGTTGGAGCGTCAACACTGAGTAGCCGTACAGATATGACCACCCCCTTGCAGCCTCGCAGGTGGCGCTAAAACCGCAAGACAAAAGTTAAGGCGCGCCTCTACTGTGGTCAATACCCCTTGCGTCATGGGGGAAGGTCTGGGTTGATTTTCGTCTGGAATTTTAGCTTGGTATTTGGCTCGATGTATTTGTTTTCCAGACTTGCGTCGATTCAGGAGGCTCTCGGTGTGCGCATTTTACAGGCCGGATTTGTTGGATATCACACAGTTGCGGTGAGTGGGGGTACAAACAGCAGTGTTGTTCAACGTAATATGATAATCGTGAACTTCGGAATGCGCCGAAGCCTGCTGCGTCACCGACGGCTGCAATGGTCGTCTGAAACGGGGGTGCCGGCCAAGGAAGGTGGACTGTGATAAAGATACAAGGCGTGGGGGGACTGAAAGGGGGTAAAGATGCACGGTGAGAGAAACAGGCAGCTGGCAGGCAGCACACAGGCAGTCGCCACAGCAGGGAACACTGGGTTCGGTTTTTCAGAGATTGATTTTGAATGGATGTCTCCAAGTGCACCTGAGGATCAATGTTGACTTAAGATTAGATGAGACCCAATACGAATATTTGCGCGCCATGGGGTGGGGTGATGGGGTTCTTTTCACGTCTCCTGTGTTGTCTTTTGAACAGCTTGCCATTGTAACAAATGAACTGTGGCTGATACCGAAGACACAATATTTCGCGACAAAGCACTCTCGCACTATAAGTCGTGAGGGATGATAACTTTCACCTTGGGGCGTGGCTGTCCCCATTTAGCATGCAGCGAAAAATCTTGGCGACAAGGGGGCAATGGGGCGTTGACCCCGAAATATCTTTACTGTTGTTTTTATTTTTATTTTGTTTAAAAAAATGTATCGGGTAGAGGCGACGTCGGGGACTTGGACCGACCCAGCAGCGTGGTCCTGGGTTTGCCAGCCACCACAAAACCCCCCCGAGACCTGCAGAAGTGCAAAAGTGCAGCTCCAGTTTCTCACTCCCTTTTCGTATCTTTCTGCCCAGCCGTGTTGGATTTTATCTGTGGAGTCTACTTATTCACCTGCTCGCGGAAGGCACCGCGAAGGAAGAAATAACGACCTACGCCGCACGAGACCATTTCGGGAGAAAAAAACAAGTGACGCATGTGGAAGAGGGTCGTGGTCCCGGATTTCACGTGCTTTGGACGTTCACTCTCAGCTCCAGCTGCCTACCATCCTCGTTTGCTCTCCCCGGGAGAGAAATGGCGTGGGGGAGTACATCACAACGCTCTCAGCGGTCCCAGAGAGATATTTCTTTCAGGATAATATTGAGTATCCGTCGTAAAGAGATTTTCAGGAGAGCTGCAACGGCAAGACTTGCCAAGTAATTGTGAACATCAATGTTACCAGCAGGCACTTTTGTTGTACTTTTCTGCTCCATATTTTAATGGGGCAATGTTACCACCGAGCCATGTCTCTTGTCTCGCTTTTGGTTGTCGCGTTAGTCTCAGAGCGGAGCCGGGACTGTGTTCCGTGATGGCGGGCTCACCCTCATTGGTGTTAACAGGGCGGGTAGGACTTTAATTGAAAGTACAGGCCCTGGAGTATGATGGTTGGATTGTCTTTCAGGGGACAAGATGGAACAAGAAGGATGCCTACATTCAGGACGGCGGGCAAAAAGTGACAGGTCTGAGAGCAGGGGAAGAGCTGGAAAAAAGGAAAAGAAAAAAGAAAAAGAAAAGAAAACTAATCATAAATTGCTTTCAAAGGGGCAAAAAAGACTGAGAAGAAGGAAATAGTCAGCTCACGTTCCATCCCAATGCAAAATCGCCGGAACAGCCAGGGCGACGGAGCGGTTGTCCCGTCGCAAGGGGAGCGGAAGTTGATACTGGAGAGCTCGCTGTGGTGGTTCGAAAGACTTAGTAAGGACACGATACATTCCCCCAAAACCCGGGACAAAAACCCAACGGTTCAATGGCTCCGGCACCCTTCCCGACCCCAGAAATGTGGTGTGGCTCTTGAAGCTGCCCTATTCCGTGCAAGCAAGTATCGACAGTCGTTTTACCCAGACTGCCAGAGACGTCCAGCTCCGTAATTGGCTCCATCTAAGTTCCATTGTAAGGAGTGGTAAAAAACAAGGAATACCAGACTTAGGGACGCCGAATGGAGCCCCATCTCGGCCTCCTCCGCATGTGCCATGCATGCCCTTGCTTTTTGGGATGTCTCTTGTTATCTGTTTTGTCCTTGCTTTTCTCTCCTACCTCTGTGCTGGTCTCCCCTGAAAATCTTTGCCCGCAAAAAAATAGTTCTCGGCAACACACACGCAGCCCTTAATAGCATAGTCATGAGCTAAGAGGTGCGACGGATAAGATAGCAGGATAGTCATTATGTTAGTGAGCCTTTAGCACGACAGGAGCATAGCTTGCTCCAGAGTATGCTCCAACACAGGAACGCTGTGACAAAAAAAATGGAGGCCAGCTTCGACATGTACTACTTTTTCTACACTAAAGAGGCAAGCTAGCACCTAGGGTATGGGGGAAGCCGCGTCCCGTCCCGGCCTAATGTAGTCGAGAGGCGAACCACTCAGAATGTATGAACGGAGAAGGAGCAGACCCGTCATGAGCCAGTGGTTCTTCGTCCTGCCTTGACCTTGAGTCACAACACGAGACAGAGGAAAGGAAGCAACGACTCAGAAGGTCGTCTAGAAATGTCATGGGAACAACGCCGTATAATGAAATACGAACTCTATTTTACGCTAAGAATGCATCACTGTTGCAGGTACGGATTCGAAAACCCAGAGAAAGTGCGTCGTTCATATGTGCAACCCTCTTTTTCCTCACATTATGGGGGTCACCGCGCCAGTTATGCTTCCGGGCACTGAACTTGTTGAGAAGTCGAGGACGGTGTGCCCAGCCAGCACCATGTCTAATAATTAGTCCGTATTTCAATTTTGCAGCTGTGTATTATTGTATTCATGAGCCTGGGAGCTCTGTGGCTACGTGCCGAGGCTCGATATTTATCTCGGAAGGCTAACCTTAACGTCCTATAAAATTGCCCTCAAAATACACAAATTGCCGTTCGGAAATCTCTTCAGCCTTTCCGTAAGCTTCCGAAATAGAAATACGAAATGAAACGGCAAAAAGTAAGCCATCTGACACATCTACCCAAGCTAACAACACAAACGGATGCGGATATAGTACTGTTGGGACTACTTAAGAGAAAGACATACTCCCGTATATCCTCTTCCTTCGGGCTACGAGTGGTCACCATGCCAGTTCGGTCAAATCATTATTGTGTGCGGCATCTTCAGGCTTTTATT